ATAAATAACTGCTGCTTTGCGTGAGATAAAACGAAATCTCTAAGGGGTCATCTTGCTAAAATACTGTGTAAGACATTAAAAAAAAAGTTTTCATACTGTTTGGTTATTATGCATTTATTAACATGAATTTGAAATGCATTAACCATTTCTACAGAGGTACTAACTTTCGACAGTTGACAAATATGGGCCTCACCTAAAGGTGTAGAGTCTTCTTTTGCCCAATAGGTGACATAGTTTTGCTTTGTAAACATCAGTGTAGCACCTGTATCATAGTTTACAGGGACTTCAATGTCCTACTGTCCTGTGTTTCTGACTAGATTCAACTACTGTAGCTTTTGGGAAGACAATCAGCTCACAATAAACAGATATTTTACATGTATTGGAGCAGCAGTACCAAACCTTCTCAAGGTATTAAAATCTTCTAGAATGTTGTAGATTTCTCTAAATAGTGATTGTGACTGAGTATGCGCTTAGCTAATTAAATATTAACTTTATGCATTAAATAGAAATACCGCTTGCATTACATACAGTAAATGTGTTTGATTTTGCTAGTGTTGGTGGATCCGTGTGAAATTCATTGCTGCTTTAGTGATTGTTTCCTTTCATGTGGTCAGACAAATATGCACTACAGGGCGTAGCTGGGGAACTCCAGCAGACTCCCTGAACAAAGGTCACGATAGAAAGGTCACTAATGGGGTTTGGATATGGCTGCGGTTCTGTGCCTTAACTTCTAAAGCTTATCTACAACTAATCCACGCCGACCATGCGACACAGCACTAGCCCACAGAGGTGGATAGTTCCAGTCCAGAAAGTACAAATGCAGACCAAGGTTTTGTTTCAACCAACCAGTTGAGTGTAAAGAGTCACAGTCAGCTGGTTGGTCTGTGTTTGTACTTTCTGGATCTCTGCTAGCCCATAGCATTTGATCTTCACCTGCTACCCAGCCAGTAAGTGCACCAGTCATGTTATTACATGCTTTGTTTTCAGGTTCTTACGCTATATTTTGCACGTCCATCCTTCTTCCGATACTTCTTATCTAGTACAGGAGTTCAACGATCCATAGGAAACATGAGGTACAAGGCAAGTGATGCACTCAGTGGGATGACAGGATGGGAAATTTAGGGAGACCAGATCAGCAGAGGGAGATATAAGGAGTGGCCAGTGGTCACCACCAACTGTCCCACCCCCTGGCTCAGAAGTTTTTACCCCACATGCTGATTAGTGCATTATTGACATTACATCATTTTTACAAAGCGCCCCCAGCCACCCCCATAAACATACAGTAGCTGGTCCCTGATAACCACCTCATTCAGAATGTTCTTCAAGCGCCACTGCCGTTTTTTTAAGCATATTTGCATATTTTTTTAAGCATATTTGGAAACCCACATGAACACAGAGAGATCCTACATATCAGAGGTGGGATTGAATACTCCTACCTTGGAGGTGAGTGGTCACTACAGTGACCACCATGCTGCCACATAGACTGGACTGACGTTGTTTACATTTTCTTTTGTGTCGGAAGATCACAGTCCAATGGTGTTTTCTTCAATTGGTTGGCGCCCCTTTCCTGGGTTATTCCCTGCCTTGTGCATGTAGCTTCTGGGATCGGCTCCAGACCCTAGCGACTCTGCGTATGAGCTGCATCGTACACGCAGATCACAGAATGCAGGCTTCCTTGTTATTCCACATATAGATAAAGTAAGAGATGGCGGTAAAGCCTTCTGCTATATGGCTTCTATATTGCGGAACTGTTTGCCAGCCCATGTTCAGGATGCCGAATCGATCTTATTCTTTAAATCTCGACTTAAGACCTATTCTTTCAGTTTAGCTCACCCACACCCTAACATACACTGACCTTGGAGGTTTTTTGTCTCCCCTCTTGGAGTTTTTGGTTCCTCTCCTCTGTTGTCATCTGTCTTTCATTCATTCATTTGTCTTCCCTTTGCCCTGTTTTTGAATAATTGTGTATTAATGATATAGGAATGTATTATACCCCAGTGAAGTGCCTTGGGGCAACTCTGTTGTGAAAGGCGCTATATAAAAATGATTTGAACTGTATGACAAGCGGGTATAGAAAATGGATGGCAAGTGGGTAAAAAATTCAGCTTCAGGATATTTAAGATTGTTCATGACTTCTGATTTTAAAACGGATACACAAGCCTCGAGGTTTTCCATTTTCAGGTGTATTTACATGGACACCATGAAACCACCATCTTGCTGATGCTAATAGCTGTTGGATTTACCTCAGTACTGTATGTAAAAACTCATGGACATATTTGTATATATTGTTAAAATTTGGATTTGCAATCATCTATTCAAGTAACATGAATTGTATTGTATTGTGTGGCCCAGTTTGACCTTTCAAGCATGCTGTGATACTTTGTGGTAGCTGGTTTCATTCACATCTTCTGCGAAGAAGGAGCCTGCAACTTCATGCATCAGCAGAACACATGCTGCCTGCCACCCACAGGTGCTTAGGGGACCTGATCCATGTTTAGACAGTTAGGACACCTCAGTGATTAAAGGGGAACCTGCCGAAACCATGTGATTCTGAACAATGCAAAAATAACTGTCAGTAACATAATAATATTACCATTATAAATGTAATAAAGGTAGGTAATGTAACAACTGGCCAACTAGGTACTGTAATACATTTTCTGAAACAATAACAGGAAAACATTTTGCCAGTAATTTAAGTTATTACACTATTGGCCAGTCACCACATTCTTAATTTTATTACATCGTACATCAATTTACTACATTATTGGCACATTATTACTTTATTGACACATTATTACATTATTGCCATGTTATTACATTAGTGGCATGTTATTACATTATTGGTGGCGATTACATTATTAGCTGCTACACTTGTAGCAGAATTCTCCAGCATGTCTGTCAGGAGTTTACCAAAGTCATTTTTTTTGACAGAGTGTGTGTGGGATGGATTTCTGGTTTGGCTAAGGTTTCAAAGAAATGCCTCCATTAATGAAACTACAAAAATTGTCTCAGCTCTCTTTTTTTCCCAGTTGACTCATTGTTGTGCTCGCCTTGATGAAACTTTCGCAGGCTGTTGAGCGACACGCGCTGGCCTTTCTTCTGCCTTCTCTCACTCTGTGTACAGGTATACACGTAGCATTACAGCCCATGGCAACACAAATACACCGATACCCAAGGGCCTGTCCCATGCAAACAATACATTTGAATAAGAAATGCGAAAACTTCACAAAAAGGAATACAGCTCAAATTACTCAAACACTAGCCTTTAAAATATACAGATACATACACACACACACACATATATATACATATTGTGTTATTTTTTCCTTGCTTATGAAGAAGCCTACTTATATGTCACTTATTTATCATCAAACATACAAATACTAGGAACCAGTTTTACAGGAAAACCTCTTTGGTATTTGCATTCAGAGCATTGTGAATGTAGAAAGAGACAGAGGGCGAAAGCTTCAGCTTTTAGTTTGCTTTTTTTCGAGGGATGTAATTGTTAAATAACTGTCAGCTTCTCTCTTATTTAATCATACCTCCTCTGTTTGACGTAGGTATTTTTCTTTCTGTGTAATTTTAAATAGCTGTATTTACACAAATCTTTACGTATTTATAAAGGAAATCATTGACCAGCACTGACTATTAGGATACTAACTGATCTCTGCTAGGTTTCCGTCTCAAACGCTATTGAAGCCCTAAATTGAAGTAGCAGGAGAAAACCAATGTTGGAAAATATACCCTTCTCAAACAGAGCTGAGGTGCGATTCACACCCCCAGCATTAGACGTCTGAGAAAACGGTGTTAACCTTTGAGCCGCAATGCTACTTAAAAAGAAACTTTCTTGTGAAAGTTTTAATGTCCTCTCAGTATAAATGTATTACTATAAGACTAAAATTATATTCTGGACATTAAAGAAAAATAACCAATACTGCCAAGCCAGTAAACTGTCACGCCCAGCTCCGTACGATCCTCGTGTGTGCCACGCCCACCTCGTTACCTCGTGTTATTTCCTAATTGTTATCACCTGTTTCCTATTTGATTTTGACTTGTCTTGTGTATTTAGTCCACGTCTGTGTTAGTATCCCCAGTCCGGTCATTGTAGTGTCATTCTGTGTTGTTGCCTGCCGTTTGTGGAATTAAACCCTGTGTTCCCCTATTCACGGCTTCATTTGCCTGCTTCCGCCCTGCATCGTGACATAAACAATGTCTACTGCCTGTTTTACTGTAACGATTTATAAAGCTATGAATGTTTAGCATTTCGTTATGTAAAAATTGGCTCGGTATAATTCAGTGTCAACAAGTAGTGACGTAGTTAAGGATATGGCCTAATTGAAGTCCCAGAAGAGCTACCTCCACAGTGATCAGTCATCTCCTGAATAGAAACACATTTGCAAACAATTTAGTGATCCTACGAGCTAAGCTACAGCATTCCTAAGATTCATGAAGATAAGATCACAAAAGAGCACGACTAGGGCACAGCACATAAGGCGAATAAACAAGGAAATGACAGTGAAATAAAAAATACTCTGAGTGTATGTATTATTGCTCCTAAAGGTTCTTGGTTGTTTGTTGTTTTTTTTTTGTCCAATAGATTCCCTGCTACAGTCTGCCTGAATTCCAGTAGATTCCCTGCTACAGTCTGCCTGAATGCACCTGTGTGTAATTTGCTTACAGGGCCACACACTGCAGCTCAGCCCAAAGTCAAGGTCTGGGTGTTTTCCAGATGGCTTACTTGCAAAACCGAGCTTGGGGTCGTTACAGAATTTATAAGCTGTCAGTGTAACAGAGGAAGCATGCAGTGTTGGACTGGGGGACCACTTTGAGTGTCTGAAATGAATCTTCGCTGTCAAGCTGGGGGCCTGCGCTAACCACGTCACATGCTGCCGAACAAGAACGGCGAGACTGGATTAGCTTCTGCTCCAATAGGAAGGAGAGTCACAGCCAGCCGACTCCTGCAAGTGGAACCGGTCCCGCAGCTGTAGAGTATCATGGGGGCAGGGCCACATGGCGACAAGGTTGTAAGGCAAAACAGAGAAAGCGTGATGGGCTGCCCTAACCTCCACTCTGTGGCCCAGGTAAAGGCCATAGCAACAAGATAGAGAAGACAAGGTGAAGAGTCTTCGGTTCAAGGTGTGTCGTGATCTCTCACGTGGGATTCTGGATTGCTAGAAGCTGCTTCACAGAACCTGAGTCCAATGGCAGTATATTATCCGGTAGGTACATTGCTGTGTGCTTTAGGCTAGAATAGAATAGAATAGAATAGAATAGAATAAATCTTGTCCAACCAAGGCTGGACATTTGCCTTTGGTCTTACAAAGTAAAGTATAAAAATGAAGTTTCCAAACAGACAGATAGAAGAAAAAAAGTTTAAATCAAAGTGTTAAAATAATAATATCACATTATTCCAGCATGTGCAGAAGATTTACTGGTATAAGATTCACAAGCTTGCAAATAAAAAAAAAAATCACTATCTGAGTGATTGAACCCAACCACAAAACTAATGCACTGGTAGTTCTGTTAAGTTAAAGTGCACTCAAAGTGTTAGGGTTAGTATGGAGGACTGCTGATTACTAGCAAAGCGTTTTGATCACTGGTATATAGTGTGGCCCAGAAAGCATTGGTCTGTTGCATGAAGTGTTGGGGTTTCATTGTAACATTTTTAAGAAAGTGAGAAAAATGGAATGAGCAAATTCATTGAAGTACTTGAATTTAATGAGGAAAGATTGTGACTGAATCTGAAGCTTCAAAATCTCAGCAGACTTTCTTTGTAGACTTTATCACAGATAATTCGGAAAAATTGCATAACTAAGTCATTCCAGTATTTATGATCTGGTTTGTTCTGAAGCAAAAAGAATGAATGCAATGCTTGTGTCAATTATACAATATATCATGTGACTGTCAATTTTGACTTTTATGAATAGCACTGTTCGCATTGCTCTATAACTCAGTCATTTTGGTTAATGTGATGTTGCTAAGATATTGTACAATTAAGATGGAACTTTTTTTTAGCAAGAATAATAAGACAAATAAGTATAAGTAAAATTATAGTGCTTATTAGTGTTTCAATGTGTGTGTGTGTGTGTGTGGGTGTGTGTGTGTGTGTGTGTGTGTGTGTGTGTCTCATGTATATGTTAGGGTTCCCACAATGTGACACCCTGGTATTTTGATGTTGTGGGCACCATTTTTTGTTTCTTACAAGGAGAACCTCAATTTTGAAAAAATCTATGACTGCAATAAAAAACTTTTTGTTTAGTTATTTATGGTTAAGGTTAGGGGTGTGTAGGGGTTACTGTTGTCATTATTGGTATAAGGGTTTTGTTCATAGAAATGAATGGACGGTCCCCACAAAGACTTACAAACATCTGTGTGTGTGTCCACTCATTCGTACATCCATCTTCCAAACGCTTATGTTGGTTGCACGGATGTACAGATGCCCCAGACTGTGAACCCAGGACATAAGTCTAAAAGGTAAGACAAGGAAGAAATATACTTACTAACAAATAAGACTCCAGTGTTTGAATTTCCTTTTGGCCTTTCAGATTTTGGGTATGGAATAAAGGGAACTGTGACACTGTCCTTCCAGTCACTCACCGAACAAGCTGGGTGACATTCATGCCATTCTCTTTCGGCGACTATCTACCATTTGTAGAACAGGCCATTACGTCATAGGCTGTGACATGTGTGACGTATGTAGATGTTACCAGAACCCATAGCGCTTGCTCCATCTGGTTTTCCCGCAAAATCAAAATCAAAATCAAAAAGAGGAAGTTGCAATAAATAAATCAGCATGAATATTTCTTCACTGAGTAACCATGTCTTTAGTTGGCCATTCTCGTTCCATACCAGTGTTTCTCAGCTTATTTAGCACCGCGATCCAATTTCTAACATGGCAGCGCAGTCATATCCCTATATAGTAAAGTAGTAAAACTAGCCAGCTCTCTGAAATGCAACATCATGCCTACTACAATTTGACAAGCATGTAGTTGTTTCTGATATTAAGCCATTCTAACATTTTTAAGTAGGAAAAAAATGGGTCCGTGTAATTTTCCAACAATTTTCCAAGACCCTTTCAGGACTTGCCACGATGCAAATCTGCGTCGCGACCCAAGGGTGTCAGAAACACTGTTCTATATACAGTAGTACTTGCGTTAGCCTTCAGAGGTAAATTAATCATATTTCAGCTTACAATGAGTGAGAATGTGTAAATAGAAAGTGACTGTTTCACATCCCGTCTAGAAAAAGCCATGGTATACAGCAACAAGCCGTATGGACATTTTTGGGACACCCCCCCCTCCCAAACGTAATAATGCAATAAGTCATGATGCAGTATGTGTCCCAACGTATCTTTCTGCTCTGGGATCTTGCCATACTGATTTGATAATTCGTTGTTGATGTAGTCTAACTCTTCACCATGATACAGAACGCTTGATATATTGAAACATTTCTGTTCTCACTTTTCTGCTTGTCATGCTGTTTAATCGCTGTACCTACATGCAGCATTACTCAATTTGGTTCAATTCAGTTTATTTTCATTTAACGCCTTTCACAATTGCCCCAAGGCTCTTCACATGGGTGTGTTGTGATAGATTCATGCATCATGTATACAGAATAATTCAAAAACAGGTAAAGGGGAAGACAAAGAAATGAAAGGGAAAAAAGGCCAGACAACAACGGAGAAGAGGAACCAAAAACTTCTCAGTAGGGGGTCTAAGGTCAACTGGGTGCCCAACCCCCCCTGGGCATGCTAACATTGTTGAAAATGAAAGAGTGGGCTTGTATGCCAAAAGCAAGGTGGATTCCTTCCAGAGCTCCCCAAAACACTGTCCGCCCTCAGTGGATGTGGCAGCGTTCCGTGGTCAGACGCTTCATGAATCTCCCAGCTGACCTCCCAAGCTTATTCATCTCTTTATTTGACATGCTAATCTTTTTTTTGCGCTGAAACGTCGCATGTTCATGTGCACACCTGCCTTTCTCTGACAGGAAAGTGCCCCACCACCGTATGAAAATGTGATGCACCCCGGGCCCCAATTTCAAGCCAATGAAGAGATAGCTCATGGAGGGGGGTGGCACATGCCCCCCTACCAGCCCTACTACATTCAGCCCCAGCCGGCAATTCCAGTAGTAGTATCCAGCCCCCCCCCGCAAACCCAGGGTAAGCCACCATCACAGTGTCCTGTAACCTGCTCCCCCGATTGGTTTTCTGTGCCCCCCCCCCTTCCACAGCTGCATCTATGCTGTCCCTCCCCCATTGTCTACTCTCAGCCTACTACCCCTCCATCTCTTCCTTCCTTCTTTCGCTTTCCTCATGTAAAGGAAATTTTACCAAAAATTACATATAAATAATCACGAGGCAATTTTGTATGTATACAAATGAAATTTCCTATATGAGATGTGCCAGTGGTCGAGTCAACAAATGCATGGGTTAAAATGGATGGTTGCTGGAAATACTGTGGTGATTTTAGGAGAGGTTTATAAACGATCAAACTGACATGCTTTGACAGACATAAAGTAGATCAACAGGAAGATGTTTTAAGCATAGTTTTCTTAGACTGTCTATATATATATACATATATATATATATACATATATATATATACATATATATATATATATATATATATGTGTGTGTGTGTGTGTGTGTGTGTGTGTGATATATTTTGTGAACTATAACCTGGTTCTTCTCCATTTCTCATTAATGAAGGGCTTCTTCCCTGCTTTACGGGACTCCAGTCCTGCTTCTGATAGCCTGTTATAAACTGTCCTAGCAGTGCACTTCAGACCTGCATTTAATGTTTCCCATTCCATTTGAAGGTCACTTGATGCCATTGTCCGATTCATGAGACACTGTCGGATAAGTTGACGGTCATTTCTGGCATTAGAAAGTCGCTTCCGCTCTCTACGTGGCTGGTTTCTGGTCATTCCCAGTGTCCCCTGCTTCACCTTATTTTAAAAATGCAGATTGTTAAAAAGTATAGAGTGGTGTCTTCATTTTTTCCATGGCTGTGTATGTGTGTGTATATACTGTATATAAGGGTTTGCATACATATGCTACACTCTCATCATCCCTTGTTCAATGACAAAGAAATTAAACAAAAAAATGTAACGAAGAAATGCCATGAATGAAAAATGCTGGGAATTCTAGGTGACTATGGCATTAACATTTAAGTGACCAACCCAGCAGGTGTAATGATTTCCAAGACCAGAGTGTAAAGCAGGAAGTTGTAATGATTCACATGAGGCATGAAATGGACTGAAATGTTATCTGAAAATCAGGGTCAAAACACTGACGAAAGTTTTGAAATCAAGGGCAGGAAAATAGCAACGCAACAAGTCAATGGTTCAGAAATATTCAATATGTTACATACGTCAGAGGTCATTATATCTCTCTTAGATCAAGGAATGAGAAAGAAGTATTTATACATATGTCATGTGAGTTTGGGTGTGAATACGGAGACTAGAGTCAGGTGTTACAGTGCCATCCTACTTCCCTAAAACAGGGGTAGGCGACCCTGATGCTAGAGTGCTGGGATCCAGCAGGTTTTCCATCCTGCCTGGTCTCTGATGAACCACAGCTGATCACAGGCAGATAGTAACTCATCAGGTAGGATAGAAACCTTCTGGATACTGGCACACCAGGGTCAGAGTTGCTTAGCCCTACCCTAATGCAGTGCCATGCAGTGCCCAGGCAGGCCGCCATGGGGCATGAAGCAGGGCAGGCTGGGTGGGTGTGATGGAAGTCTTCAAACAAGGAAAGACCAAGCATGTCATTCACTGGAACCGGGAACTACTCATTCAGGCCATATCCCCATTCCATCAAATAGCAGGTGTCCCCCCTTAGTGAGAGAGAGGCTAAAAGGGTTCCCGGAAACCTTTTTGCCACCGAACTCCAACTGGGAAGGAAATTTAATGGGATCAATTGGCAGATTCTTCAGTATTAGCAAGGACATGTGGAAGGTGCTTAATATCAGGTACCAGGAAGGTAACAAGAACCAATGACCAAGAGGACTGATGCAATTTTGATTTTTAAGGGGTTATTGTAAGCTTGAAAGATAGAGCTCTGCAGTTAAACTTGAGCTGCCTCCAGAGCCTGTTGAAAGCATTCGCTGCTCCGTTTCATTAATCAGGGGACCAAAGGTGCTAGGACCAGGCACAGCAGAGGTGGGACTCAATAGCAGACCACAGGAAGTCAGGAAGAACAAGTTTTAATAGTGATAAGTGATAATTTGCGGTCAGGGCAAAAACAGGCCAAAAGGCAGCCTGCAAATCCATACTCAGTGGATGAAAAAGCCAAACCATTCAAAGCAAAACAATATATCACAAACAACCATCTACACTAACACTAAGACAACTGTACACTGACCAGAGAGCTTGCAAGGGTTACACAGAGAGGAAAAGAATTGCTTGTCCAGTCACAGGTCAGTAGTGATAATTGAGACATATTATAATTATTGGGACTAATTATAGGAAACAGCTGTGGAAACTGTGGCATGGATCTAGAGGAAACTGGACTGTAGTAGAGGCTGGTGACAGGAGAAAAACGTGGTCCGGATCACGCAGGAGCTGGAGTTCATTGGAGTTTAATGCGTAACAAAGGGAGCTCGATAGGCTGACATGTACTGGAAAGGTGAGAGCAAAGAGTGCGCAAGAGAATTCTATGCATACTCCACCCAGCATAGCTATCTGCTCCAGTTCACTTGACTGGTGCTTGTTATATGCCCTGTTGTTGGTCAGGTGACATACACAAGAGGTGCAGGTCGGAGGGACCCAGAGCTGAGTAACACAGAATACAACTGGAATCAGTTTTTCCGTTTAATGCTTAAAGGACTTTATACAGTGACGTATATGCAACTGTACAAGGTCAAAACACAGAGCTGAAATTCAGTAATGTATCTAACATAGACACAAGGTTACGTGGGCTTTTCAGTGGGGCCGTATTAAAAAAACAATATACAATTATATTAAATAATTTTGACTTAATATTGCATTAACCTTATAAATGGGACCGAGGGGGCCTTTGGGAGGACCTGGTGCCCCCTCCCAAGCATGTGCCCAAATGCCCATAATGCTCCAGGCCGAAACGGGGGTGGCACTAAAGAAAAACACATGGCCAAACACAGAGGCCATTCAAAGTGCTTTACATAAAAGAAAATGAAGTATTAGCATTCATCAGATGGAGAATTAAGAACTACAAGTAAAAGACAATTGAAATAAGAGTAAAAGAAAAAAGCATAAATGTTGATTAGCAGTGCTAATCAAAGGCACTGTGGAATAAAAGTGAAAGGAAGAAAATACGGGCACATAACAGCAATCGCTGAGGTACAATATCTTGATTTAGCCTCTGTTTACTGATGCAGTAGGGCAGATCCAATGACACTAATGAGAACCCCTCATCAATTCCAGGAAGCCCTCAATACCTGCAAAGTACATTCAGGCCCATGCGTCAATTCAAATTAAATTCATTTTTATGTAGTGCTTTTCACAACAGTTTCACCCCAAGGCAGGACAAGAGGCAAGACTGTGTGGCAATCCATTATGACATCATTAAACAAACCGGTGCATGCAATAGGGAAAAGGGGAAGACAGAAAGAATCCAGGAGACGATGGAGGAGATGAAATAAAAACTCAGGAGGAGGGAATAAAATAACCTAACCTCTGGGGGGTACAAGGTGGACTGGCCACCCAACCCCCCGCCCTGGCTGCACATGCCAACGTAACAGGAAACGGACCTGTTCTCCAAGCAGGTCTTTGTAACTGCCAGATCACAGGCCACACCCACAATGTCAATTCAAAATAACACATCAGTTATACCATAAACAAGTGACTAAAGTCTGAAGAAGTTCTGCAGGTGTTCGTGTCATGGGAGTCAGGAGATGCGTCTTGGAAAAGCAAAACAACAAATAAAAATGTTGAAAGATCAAAGTCTGCGTGGGATCAGAGATGATTCATTTTTTCTTTGCAAAGAAAAAAGTAGGTTCCAAATGGATGCATGAATTTGTGACTAAGAGCCTCCTCAGTTCATTGGTACATGGCGTCTGATTCAGGGCATTAACTGGTTCCTGGAAGTTGGGTGATGGCACAGAACCAACGAGGTGATCAGGAGGTACATTGGCCGCTAAAGTCTTGCTGGTTATACTTGGAAAGTCCTGGGGTTCAGTGGTAATTTCCTGAGAATTCTTGACAGAAGTGGACCAACAAAGGAGAGGCATAAATGTGTAAAAACACAATTTAGTCCAGTTCTCCATTTGTCCATGATGATCAGGCCATGTCTCTGTACTCAGAGGGAGCCTAACACCAAGGGATCTTTAGAAGTATCCATGACAAGTAATTGTTTGTCATTGAAATGCAATGCCCTACGCTAGTGGGCAAAATTGTGGAAACACCTAGCATTTTTGGCATTATGCTTTAAAAATTTCTACACGAATGTTTATAAACTAAGAATGTTCACAAATATCATACATGGATAATTAAATAAGTAACTGCAGTAACTGGAATAAAATTCTGCAATCTCTAAAAATTTGAAGTGTTTCCGCAGTTTTGGCCGTTAGTGTACTCTGTAAGCCAAGCGGTCTGTTGATGTTCGAACGACACTCTTATTTGGTGCAGCAGCTTTTCATCAGTGCCAAAGGACCTAACAAATCCATATGAGACCCTGACAGAAATGGTGAATAAGGTTTTGGGCCCCATTAACTATAACTGAAATTCCTATCTGGGCCTCATTGGGTGCTCTGTCTCTCATGGGATGGAGCAGAGGACTTACCCACAGATGTTACATTTCTTGACCTTGCAGAGACAGATGGTTTTTGTACGCAGCAGTAACGTTTGACCCAATGCTGTGCAGTTTGTGTCCAATGTAGTGAGGGGTAAGGAAAATGGAGAAGAGAACGGCGTGACAGGTGAAGTCTCTTTGAAGGGTCGGCCCACTCCTCCTTCTCTCTCAGATCAGGTTATCAATTGACAATCAGGATATACTATACAAGATAGTGGTATCTCCCCAACCAGCAGGCTCGGACCAAAGAGCTTGCAAGTAACTGTTGTCTATACAGACGCTTCTCTACTTACGAACTTTCAACTTATGAACTTTCAGACATACGAACGAAGAGGACTGTAAGTCCAAATTGTGTTCATTGGGCTCCCATTTCCTGTTCTCAACATAAATTTTTTTTTTCTGCGTGCGAGTTCCGCCTAGTACGACTTAACTCCCGCCGCGCAGCAGCGTAGCGTACGTACTCCCAGCATCCTAGTTCTTTGTACTTGCGTATACCCTTAAAATGATGTTGAATAATGACTTACGAACATTTCAAGTTACGAACGGCCATTCGGAATGTAACTGGTTCATAAGTAGAGGAGTGTCTGTATATGGTAAGTAAAGTAAGGTCATTGAGGCCACCCTCAAGCTGCTAGCATGCAGTATTTGAGGGCATAGTCGGCAGCGATGATGAAGTTCTCATAATCGATTAGTAATGTCTCAGCTGGATAGTGGAAGACTAGATGAGTTTAGACCAGGGCTCTACCTGTAAGCAAAGAGGTCACAAAGTGAACACAGTCTGACCAAAATTGTTCTGAGCACTGGATCATATATAATAAACGTTTATCTAGACAATACAATGCAACAAGATAACACAGCAATACAATAAAATAATACAAGTGATAGAAGAAGAGTTTGAACAATGGAAAGAGCAGAAGTGGATGTCTGTATTAGACAAACAAGACTGCTTAAAGTTTTGTCATCGCGATTCAATATTGCTTGCATCTCTGCTTGATCTGGCATGATGGTGAGGTATTCTGTAATATGTGGTCTATTGTACAAGTGCCAAGTGAGCCGTTTTAATGATTCACACAGGCAAAGCGCAGAAACAAATCCTGAATGCCGCTCAGAAACCCATGACAGACAAACAGAGCATGTCAACAGTTTGGTAACACGCAAACTGAAAGAGCCTCAATCTGAGAAGGCATGTCGGGCCTGCGTGGGTATGGCTGCAGGACTGCTTACTGGACGCAGGCCTTGTACCAGCAAGCATTGAGATTGTTTTTTTCACTGAAGAGAAATGAAACAGATACCTTCTACTGCAGAAAGTAGGAACATAAAATTATAAAAAAAATTGCTGAAATACCCCCTTTTCAATGGTTTTTATTTTGCTGTAGGGATTGAAACTGAGAGTCTGAAACCTCAGCCTTGCATAACATTTGGCTACAGCTGGCACAATGCCAGCATAATGCCTAATAATATTTGGAGACACCGTCCCGCGACACAACCAGGCATTACATTTTAGTGGCATTTTGAAAATCTCCATTTTTTTTCATGTGTGTTTTCATGTGCCCCCTTGTGCTTTCTAGTCACCGTCTGCAGCACAACGAATGTGAGATATGTGAACAGGCGCCGCTATTTTGGTATAGCAGGGATTGTCATCCTCTGCCTTATCCTGCTCGCCATCGCCATCTGGCTGGGAGGTAAGGGACTGCTTTACACAAACAGCTGTTTGTCTCTGCTGCCTGGCTTCATAGTAACCATTAACATTCTCTCTCTCCCTGTATCTTTTTTTGGGAGCAGTGCATTATGGGTACCTAAGGACATCAGGGACATCTACAGTTTTCGATATAAAAGCACAGAACACCTGTACCAATAACACTATCATGTGTGACGGACATCAGGATTGCACCCTAGGCAGTGACGAAGGAGTATGTGGTGAGCTTGACCAAAAAAAGTAAATTGGGAGGGGGGGTGATTGTTCAAATCTGGGGTATAGCTACATGCAGAGGCAAACATTTCAGGTCCAGGAAGTAAAAAATCCAAACCATGATTTTGTTTCAACCAACCAGTAGAGTACTCTGTGACTGTGACTCATTATGCTCAACTGGTTGGTTGAAACAAAATCCTGGTCTGGAATTTTACTTTCTGGATCTGAAATGTCCACTTCTGGCTAAATGGACATGGGCAGTAAAAACATCGGCTCAGCAATTTGTACTGAGTGTTGTAACAGGGAAAGTGGAAGACACATTCTGTTGTTTTTAGTTCCTCAATAAAAAAAATCAAAAAAGAAATGGATCTGTTTCTTTATCTTTAATTACCTCACTACCCCTGACTTTTTTCTTTTTTTTTTATCTCCCCCGCCAGTGACTTTCGGGCTTAATAGTACCCTCATGGTCAGGACCAGCCAGGATGAAATTTTCCACCCAATGTGTTCCCAAGGCTGGGGCCAAAATTATGCTGACCAGACGTGTGCTCAACTCGGCTTCCAAAAGTAAACAGCCTGCTCTGCTAGTTCTATCATCTATGCCTTTGCAGTTTTATTTTTGATCACTTCCTCCTACACACTCATAGCTAACATTGAGGCCCCTTGCTGACATTGAATTTTTCTGCCCTCTAGTGGTGATGGGGGTTCCTACTGCAGGTCAGTTCTGACGGGCATTTCCTTACCTGTACTTTTCAGGAGTTACCAATACACATTGGTGCCAAACCAGGTGTCCCCTACTGTCTCAATAACCAACCAGGCTTCACAATTCATCCAGGGAGAAGTCACTGTCAGGTATGTACCCATGCAACAGTCTGCCCTTCAAACACCTTCGTAAACCTATAGTTTAAGAAGCATGCTTAATACCATATGCCTAAAATCTCTAAAATACAGGAGTTACCGAAGTGTAGCAATGTTATATCTTTAAGGTTTGTTGAAAAGGTAGGAGATGCATGCATAAATTGTATATATGAATGACTGGGCAGTGTCCAAGAAAGAGTAGTAAACATAGTAAAACAAGCATCTAATTGTAGATTAGCATAAAAACGATTAGTATTTAAAATATTCTTAGCTACTAAAGGTCTGTACATGAATATATTTGTGACCTTGTAGGGAGGAGGAGTCAGATTTTTGGTAAATTATTCTTTCTGACCTGGAGTGCTCTGATATTTGTTATGGCTTAAATACTGTTTAAATACTGTTTGTCTCCACTGGCCCCAAGCGATGAACCAGTTAAAACAATAAAAATGCTGAGGTACCAAAATTTAGTTACAGACGTTTGCCAGGTTACGATGGGGTTATGTTCCAATAAACCTACCGCAATGTGAAAATATCGTAAGGCGAAAATGCATTTTAATACAGCACACCTAACAAACATCATAGCCTAGCCTAACCTACCTTAAACATGCTTAGAATACTTACCTTATTCTACAGTTGGGCAAAATCTTTTATTCCTCCATTATGGGAGGAAAATGATTATTAGGGGGTTGTATTAGCTGGGGCAATCAAGGAGCCACAACCCCCCCGTAATTTACGCCCATGAATCATACCCCTGTTAAAAACGAAATTTCGTAACACAGACCACCGTAACCCGGGGAGTGTCTATACACGCCTTTACTATCACACAATTGTAATATACATATACATCCAGTACCATACTAGAATGAGTCATTATGTTATTTAAAATAAAACTCCTTCCATTTTACCAGTTACCCTATTACATGAAACATAGCATCCATTATATTCATTATGTTTATTTTATGTTGTCTTGTATTTATATTTTGATAATAATAATAATAATAATAATAAGCTTTGCTTATTATGGTACAGTTTGATAGGTGGGTTTGCAGTATATTTCTACCCAGTTCTTTTGCATGGGGTGATGCAGTTTCATGTAAGTTTGTCATTTTAGTCACTTTGGGTGTGCTGTGCAAAATCTCTGTTCTCTGCTTAAAGGGCTCCCAGAATCTCTACTGATGCTGCAGAATCTGGAGATACAATGGAACAAAATGATTTATTAAATCTGTCCGTTTCAAGTGCATTAAATTGAATAAGCAAAGCATGCTGGATGATTATTTGCCTCCTGATAGCTTACTGAGTCATGCCCGTGTTTAGCGATCATTTAAAAATAATTTCAAAACTTCTGTCTTATCTCTCAGTGCCAGTCAACTCACAGACCTTACATTCCATAGCCCTTCCCAGACCCTTAAGATGAGGTCAACACCATTGCCATTTCTTTGTGTTCCTCCCCCTGATTTTAGAGATTTACCTGGAAAAGGCATTGTATGGCATTACTCTGTGACTATGAGACCATTTTACTTCAGCATTCCCTGCTGTAACTGGAGCAGATATCGGGCTGGGTTACCGTTTCAGTCCCAAAGAGTCTGGCAGAGAAGTGGGCGAAAACGATGGATGGCCACACACATTTCTAAGAAGTTATTTCAAAACATAGACTTTTAGCTATGTTACAATCGGTTCTTTTGTTATATTCAAAAGAGCCACATCGCGTTCTTCTCCGGAATGTTTTCTTGTAGTGCAGTAGGTGGAGGTGTAGAGGTGTTGGTGTGTTAATTGCTTTTATGTGACTTTGCTGTCAGACGTTTTTCTTGACTGGATCATAAGATCCATGTCTCTGGGTGGTCTGTCTTCAGTGAATATTTTCAGCTTTTTCTGCATCCTTTACGACTGAGGTGTGAACCCCACTCTGAGGTCTCCTTTTCGTTTTTAGCTTTCTGCAGAGCTTCTCCACGATCGCTCTCCTGCAATTTCATGCTCAGTGCGTCGTATGTCGCTTCGTTTTATTTTTGCTTTTATTCACACAGATGAAATCACACGGGAGGGTCTGTACAAAGATGTGGGTGGGTCTGTGTGGGTTTTGGGTAGGAAGAGACAAGAAGAACAATGAAATACAGAGAAGGATCAGAACTCAGATTCCCATTCCTTTCCTGATAAACAGACTTGCTTCTGCTTTGATCTCCTTCAGATGGATGGATGGATGATCATTGTCGACCAAAATGGTTCATCTTTATCTACTCACACCTGATCCTTTCACAATAGCCATGTAGTACCTTCGCAGGGTTAAAACAAAATTCTATTTAATTGTTTGAACAGTAAAAATTAGCAGTATGTGTTAAATTCTGAATAACATATAATTGTCTTGAAAAGTAACAATTAACAACTGCTTACTCAGATTACTGAGTGAGCAAAAAGGAAACGTGTACCGCACGGTGTATGATGGACCAGGGCTTGTGATCCACAGGTCATGTGTCACCGATCAGATGATTAGAGGACCTTCTCAGCAATAAAACCCCCTAGTGTTGTGTTCAATGTTCTGCTTCTTCTCCAAATCAGGCTTCACATGTCGTGAAACAACATGACTGAGTGACTGTTTTTTAATTCATGTCCAATTACATTAGTCATGTAAGAGATATAGCCCCGCTTTCTAAACCACAAATTAGCGTATTCCCTACCCCTTTACCCAAGAGTGGACAGGTCTTAGAGGTTTACTCTGGTATTACTTTATACTCAATCCATCGTCCATTTTGTTTTGCAGCTCTTCATGTCCCAGCGGAAAGGCTGTCTCTCTGATGTGTACCAGTAAGCACCTTTTGGGACTTTTATTTTCTGAGACTGTAAAGGCACTGCTGCCGAATCTTCAAAGAAAGTGGTTACTGCATGGATGACTTTGATAAACATTACAGTTTTTCCAATGTACAGTACAGTTCAACAGTCTTAGGCAATCTAAGCAAATGATACTTAAATGAAGATGTTTTTGTTCTGAGCACATATACATTTACTACTCAGATATAAACATTTCCATTGGCTGCCTAAGACTTTTGCACAGTACTGTCGTTCATGGGTGTTAGTGGATATCTCTGGCACTTGCTATATCTCAAACACTTTTTGTTTAATTATTGAAAAAATAATGAATTAGATATAAACTGTATTAAGTTGGCAACATTGCCTCTGGTCGATACAGCCCTTCTCTGTACATTGATAAAATGGTCCTTTGTTGGGCCACATTATGTGTGGGGGTTCTCATTATGCAAATGTACATGAACCTTAAACAAGCCTTAAATAAAATTGCACATCCTTGCTTTATGTGGGCCCATGAAATTTTGTTGCGCGTTTCTCCGCAAACAGAAGCTGTGCAAAATTAACGTCAATACCTGTGGAATGATTTGAATAAATGACTTAGAATGAAGTGGTTACATAAACCAAAGTGCTCCTCCATAATTGGCTTTTCTAACATTGGCGTGGTGTTTTGCTTGCTTGCTTGCTTGATGTTTTGCTTGTTTCCTCTCTGACCCTAGACTGCGGTCAGCAGTACATCGGCACCCGGATCGTAGGGGGCACTCAAGCCGAACTGGGCCAGTGGCCCTGGCAAGTCAGCCTCCACTACCTGGGCTCACACATGTGTGGCGGCTCCTTGATTGCCCCCAACTTTGTAGTGTCGGCTGCACACTGCTTCAAATGGTTAGTGCAAAGATCCGTCTCCACCTGGGGGTCAGAGCCTTCACATGAGCATATTCTATTTGTATTACTTCTATATGTATTTAATTGCAATTCATGGTATAATTGTCACTGTATTTTTAAATTTTCTTTTCAATTGCTTTTATTGTAATTTATATGAAAGAAGTTTAAAAATCATAAAAAATGAATTATTCATTGATATTTGTAAAATATCCCATAAAATAACATCCATTTGGGGCAGGGCTGGACTGGTATTAAAAATTGGCCCTGGATTCTTACCCATATAGGCCCACCACACACATAGCTATGAAAAATTTTGCCTACCTGGGGGGATGGGGGAGGGGCATAGCATTTTGACAATCAGTCCCCCACCGCAAATTCTGCCAGCCCACAACCCCATCAGCCCCCTGGGGAAAAGCCTGGTGTGCCAAGCAGCCGGTCCAGCCCTGATCTAGGGGAATGACTGTCACCAGATATGATCTGCAGAGATGAAGCTTCCAAAAGTAAATTTTGATATAAAAGACCAGAGATTAAAAAATATACGATAAATAAATTAAACCCCAAATCCCATTGTTTCAGAACACTGTGTACTTATCAACATAAAACTTGACGGCTCATGTGAAATTCCCTAAAATGTAAGAATATTCAAAGACCACCGTATCTTTGTATTTAAATTATCCCAGGAAGACCCCAGATTCCTCGAACCCCAGCAACTGGGAAGTTTACGGAGGAATGATCTCTCAGGACCAGCTGCCTTCCCCATACCTAGTGAGCGGCATTTTCATAAATGAGAACTACAACAGTAATAACAATGACTACGACATCACCCTGCTCAAACTAACTCAGCAAGTGACCTTCTCAAGTAAGTGCTGCTTAATGGTTGCTGTACTTGCCTTGGCCGTGACTCTCTCCCTTGGGGGGGCTGTTTTTTTCTGATGTGTGTATTTGTGTATCATGCAGATACCTTTGCACCAGTCTGTCTCCCTGCCTTCAACCAGTGGTTTGCCCCTGGAACCACCTGCTATACCTCTGGCTACGGGGTAACATCACAGGGTTCAGGTCAGAAGAACTTGAAATGAGGGCTGGGTGCAGGGGATTAGTAAAAAAAATTAAGAGAATAGATTAAAGATTCCTAACTGTCATCTCTCCATGTAAGTATGCATGCACACAAACATTAGAATTAAATAAAGTTTAAAAAGAAAAACTATAAAAAGTGTGCTCTCCTCATCCCTGCCTCTGACAATCAATCATGCATCCAACATACAAACAATAAAATATTTTAAATAAACAATTTATACACCTGTCTGTGTGCATACATCCTGCAGCCATAGAGATTATATACATACTCACACATATTTATGTGGAGACGGTAGAACGAGGACGTATGTTAAGAATATGTTTAGCTGTGATGTAAAAAGCAGAAGTGAGAAATAAATGAAATGCTGGAATTCAACTTTCACTTTACAGTTTCAAATCTAAATTCTCGTGTAGCTTTATAAGTGATGCACCTATGCTACAGCCTTAATAAAAAAATATATAATAATGAATAAAATAAAACTTGTACATGAAGTTTTGTAGCCAGTGCTTGTGATAATTTCACAATTATCTATTATTTATGTATATTGTGCAGCAACTGTATCCACCAATCTGATGATGGTGAACGTGGGCATCATCTCCACCTCAGTCTGCAACAGCGGCAGTGTTTATGGTGGCCTAATCACCAATAATATGATCTGCGCTGGTGTTCTCAGTGGGGGTAAAGACTCCTGTCAGGTGGGTGGACTCAATCGAATCCCCTTGCCTCCCTCAGAATTCTGAATTAAACACGTCTATCCAGTCACCGTATTGTGCAAAGGTCATATGAGGCCAAAGCTCTTTATCTAGGCAATAAGTATTTATTTGTGCTGAAAGACACATTATTTCACATTATAATATATACAAATAAACAGTAAACAAAGGAAGCGACAAGGATTTCTTTGGTTCCCCAAAAAGTTAGTGATATCCTGTTGGATGGCTACAAGTACACAACATCATTTTCTAAACTTTTTTTCAAGGGTATGTGTAACAACTGACTGCTTAGCAACCATCCAAGCAGACACATATGAAATGCTTGTCTTTTTCTCCCTTGTTGTTCAGGGAGACAGCGGTGGTCCACTTGTCTGCCAGGGCAGCAACCAGCTGTGGTACCTGGCAGGTGTGACCAGCTGGGGAGCAGGCTGTGCAAAGCCGAACAGCCCAGGTGTCTATAGCAACGTCACCGCTTTGCTGCCCTGGGTCTACACCACAATGCAGGTGAGGTCTCTCTCCATACACTGGGACATATTTGCTCCAGCTGGGAAGCACATATCCTGCAAAGACAAGCCATTGTCTGAACTTGACAAACAGGACATCAGATGACACTACATCTACGGCGTTGCACATACACGCACTCACATTGGCCAATTTAGAGACAGAAATTAGCATAGGTGCATTTCATTGGAGGAAACCTGAGAGACACAGGTAGAACATGCAAACTCCACACACACACACACACACACACACACAAATGACAGAAGAGGGATTCCAGCCCATAACCTTGAACAAGTAAGGCAACAGTCTTACCTGCTTTACTCCACCAAAATTATTAAGTTTGATATTGTTAAAAATGATGCAGCAGAGGTGCAAGGCTGTAAGAGCATTCAGATGTTACAGGCAGGCCATGCTGAGAACGCCTTAAGTATTTCATGGAGCTGGAAATGAAATCTGGAAGGAGAATCTACGCATGTATATTTGTGTAAAGATGGATGATTTTCCATGTCTTTAGAAAATTCTACATGATATTAAATATGTTTTAATTGATGCAATCCTGCAGGAATCGATGTCATGATGTCTTCCTCCATCATCAGAAAGATCCATGTGCTATTATAGGCAAGCACCTCATCTGATAATGATCCCTGGAATTCTTCTCTGATGGACAAAGACCCAGGAGGACGAGTGGACAACTTATGAAACAGTGCTTCCCTACAAAGGCAAAACATTGCAACTATACTCCAGCTACACTCACACTGACACTGTGAAAAGGGGTGTCTGTCTATTTTTGTTACTGTTATTTTCACTGTTTTTTTTTTTGTTCAACACAGCACAGTTGAACTAAGAAATTTTGTCACGATAAAACAGAACCTAAAACACTTGATTTTGGTCAAACTCAACTTTGATAAAATATGCACTTACTGCGTCTTGCCTTTGTAGGGCAGAATAGGAGGACTTGAAATGTTTGCACTTTACATTGGGCCCACGGTAATCGTTCTGTTTGGGTTAGCTCTCTCAAATCTACAAGGGAAAGGGGAAACAGACCTGCTGCCAGAGAATGAACAAAATCGTAAAAGTGGGTCAGAAAATTTTTATATAGATGAAATAGAAAATCACAGTAATAAATCATGATGCAAGGTATTGAGGTAAAAAGATCTGTTTAATATGGCTCTTGGACAACTATGCAGTCCTGCAAGGCCACTGTTGTATTTTTTTTTTATTCATTGTTTATGTTAGTGTTCAATATGTAACAGGTCTTAGTCAGCCACTAATTAATTATTTAACCCTGTACAATATACACTGGCTCCAGTTTTATGAATGTTGTGTGTAAATCCTGGAGCAAGGACTTAGAAAGGATTAATTGTGACAACAGAGCAATATCTCACACTGACCTCACACTTTTCTATCATGGGAATCATTTGCCTGCGTTTCTGAATGAACCTCAGGTCTGTTTTTATGTCCTTGATTGCAATGATTGTCTGTGGACGTTATTAAACTTATTATAAAACATCTACTCCGTGTACTACTCTAACAGAAAGTGACAATGATTCTTAAGAAAGAGCAGGTAGGGTAATTTAGTGTATGTTAGTGTGTTAGGCTGGTTTTAATACTGCAGGAGAACACTTTACAAGTATGATGCTATAAATATTACTGCACAGATCAACCGGGAACTATTCTCATTAATAAACTGAATATTGCCTCTTTTTGGGGAGGGATTTTCCAGTCAGTTTTCCGTACCCATGGAAGGAAGAATCAGAAAAATATCTACACAAATGTCACACAAGTGATAGAACTTAAGGTTTATGTATTAATATTACATGACTTTCTAAATAATAAGCATATTAAATTAAAATTATATTAATAGAATGCGTGAAAGGACACTCATCCTAACAGTTATTATCTATTACCATACATGTATTTATATATATATAAACACACACACACACACACACACACATATATATATATATATATTTTTTTTTTTATTATTTTTTTTTTTTTTACATAGCAGAGATAAAACACTGGGCTGCCTGTTGCCTCAAGCCCAAAGCCAAATGCGCGATTACCTACCCTTGCACCGATGACCTCTGCTTGTCCATCAGTGGGTAAGGCGGGCATTAACTACGAGCGAGCGAGAGACGGGCAAAGGCGCTCAAAGAAAGGCGTTAACGCAGGGAAGAGGGACGCGTGTTTAGAAGGCTCCGTTCAGGGCCGTTTTAAAAACGCAACTTTTTTATCGATTGTGAAAAAAAGAAAGACATCTGATTTGCATTTCATTTGGAGAAGGACACCCACGTGTATTTGTCTTTTTCTCTGAGAATCCAACCTAGAGAGACAACTTCTGAAGAGTAGGGCGTGGATAGCACAGTATACAGAGAATACCGAGAAGATTAAATATTAAATTAGTTTAATAAAGCAGTGCTGTAGCTTTAACATTAATTTAATTAACTCTCAGTTTTGATAGTTTTTTACGCCCGTGTAATATCAAGGCGAATGAAAGGTAAGAAAATAAGTTTTCATTTCGTGTTTTGTTTAATTTGAGGAAATGCAGTTTATACGAGTCGCTTTTTGTCTTGCACTGATGGCGTTTTGAAAGAAAAAGTAATTTAATGCGCACGTAGTTTTTTGCGTAGTAGGTGCGTCTGTCTAGCGAGTAGACGGGAGTAGTGGAAAGATGTTGATTGTTCATCAAAGCGAACCACCTTCGTGCTGCCTCATAGTATGGAAGGAGCCAGGGCTGAATCGTTTATTAAATATACATGATGCTTAGCTGAACGTCAGTGCAAATGTATTCAATGCATCTAGGTTTATAGCAAATGTAATTGATGGTGATGCATGCAAAGCTCAAGTTTATCAACAAAGACATAGCGATTTCCATTACTGTTTAGAATAATTGTATTCCATGCTGCAAATGCATTGCACCTTGGGAATTAAAATATATCAAAGAGAAGTTTTTGACTTTTGTGCACTTGCTGTGAATCGTAGGGTTTGTGCGTAAAACGAGGGTGTGTCCTCATTGTATTGCACTACCTTTTCTTGTAAAGAAGCGATGCTGTCTGAATTTGAGTCTTTGTTGGGGGTGTGGATTTAAGTTGCTTACATTTCTTTGACATACACACATTAACTATCCGACTGATTATTTAACATACATTTGCTCTTAACCATACTGTCATGTACACGGAAGCCTCATAAATTTAAGCTATAGAATGATGCCGGTGTGTCAATTAAAGAGGTCTGTCTTGTCAGTGATACTTTGGGTATGTAAACAACGTGGCGCTGAAATCTATAAGAATCTACAGGTATGGAGCGTGACGCTTGAGATATTCACGTAGGCAGAAGGTGCCGTGGAAAGACAAGGAGATGGCGACCATTGAACGTGAGGTGAAATGTGTGTTTGCTGAATCAAATACGAACGAACTGCTCAGACGTACGTCACATCACTTCATTCGTATCCATGTTTGCGGTTTAAATTGTTTAATATATGCAATAGATGTTCATAGTAACCAAAATACAAATGTTCTTTCATAGGCTGCATTATAAGAAAAATTAAGAATACTATGAAGTATTGATTATACATTTCAGTAGCATGAAAAGCTATATGATGAATGTAGCTGAAAGGTTTAATTTCATACCTAAGTTCCTATCTGTAATGGAATGCAACAATACGGTTTCAGCAGAGCTAGGCAGCAGCGCGGGACGCAAGAACAACTATGAGCGCGCTTTTCGCCAGCGAGTAGTCAGAGGTGTTTCCTTCGTCATTTAACATAACGGAGTTCAGTTCAATCATTTGAATATTACTCATGTATTATATACCCAGAATGTTATTACCTACAATTTCACCCCTTCTTTTTTTTTCCATCATGACGTCTTCTCTTGTCTCGTGGGGGTTCACCAAATGGCTTACATCCATGTCTTTATTACTTTACTTTATCGTTAAAACTATTTGCATTTTAATTGCACGTATTGGTTATTATTATTACATTTTTAGGAATAGTATAAGAATATTAATACATAGGAAATGTGGTAGATGTCCCTGTGTTAATTCACTGTAATAAAAATCCATCGCTGCACTCGATTAAAAATAATAACAAGGTTGTGAGCCATTTGGCACTGGTAGTGGAAGTCACCTGACTTGATGGGTTGCTATGGAAACACCCTGGAGTACGGGAGAAGGCACCAGCACGTCTGCCAGGGCGCCCGCCCTGCACGCCTCGTTGTCATGGTTACTCACCGTTCCTTTTAGTCTAAGGATGCTAGTCTGGGGTTTGCCCCAGAAAATAATTTAGCGTCTGTGATCATGTCCTATCTTTATTTATTTCATTTTAATTTTTGCGTTTTCGGAAAATATGACGAGAAACAGGAAAAGAATCTTCAGTCAGCTTTAACCTGTATTTATAAGCTGTTCCTTGAATGACTTTTGCTGGTTCTTTATATTATTCTGTACTGAAATAATTCACATGCATTCAGTGGCCAAATAAACATTTCCTCATCATACTACTGCAATACATTGTGGCTCGCATTAGTGGATTCTTAACATTTGTTGTTATTTGTTAGTGTGATGCAGATAAACATGAAGCATTTTTACAGGGAGAGGAGCAAGAACAGACGGAGGCAATGACACAATATGGCCAGTGGATATTTGAGAATGACGAAACCAATAGAAGTGCGAGAACGTAAACGTCGCAAAAAAAAAAAAGCCAGTCTCCCCTCGCAACCCTTGGAGGTGAGACAATGACACACGGAACAGACGCTCACGCCGCGGGCGGTGCCCCAGGGCCTGTGCCCAACAGTGATCAATGCCAGCTCTTGCGTTAAACCCCCCCCCCCCCCCCCCCGTACCAGTGGCCAGTGGTATTCCCATGCACACAGAAAAGGGCTTTGTAACAGGTCCTTTCTAAATAGCTGCTTTAAATTGGTTGTCTTTCACCTAGATTTGAATCGCGTTACTCTGCCCATGAACAGGGGTTCTCACGATGTTAATCCCGCCAGCTCAGGATCGATGTAATTCTCATGAATTTGGGAGCCCAGAAGAAAACTTGATAAATTACCAACTTTGCACTTCGCACGGGTTATTGCTTTTTAGCGGATAAAAACGGCGTAGCGACTGAAAGTTGTATCAGATGTGTCACTGAGCTTTGGATGACTTAAGGGTAAAGTCTGTGAAACCGTTTTAGAGGTTTAAGTTTTACGAGAGAAAGAGAAGTGCTGAGTGACTGCATAAACGAATGTCATTGTGGCTGAGTTAATGAGGATGGGATGGGCAGGGTGAGTCACATGCAGGTGGGTTACTTGATAGCCGCAGGGTTTTAAGTTTGAACCAGGCAGCAGCTCTTTCTGTTCTCCATCTCCCCACGTAGCCTAGTTACCTCCCACGGACCAGTGGCATGCTGCTCGGATGATTTGTTGACTCCGAAAAAACTCCCCAGGTGTGATTCAATGTGTGGAGGTCCCGGTGACAGGCAAGGCGCCCTGTGTCGCACGTTATTTTGCATTCTTTGCAGGAGAAGGTCCACATCCCCATGACCCCGAATGTCAACACTTTCTTAAAACGAACGGATCTGTCAGGAGGAATGTAATTTTGGACTTCAGATTTTACAGGCCTATATCATTTTTGCGAGGCATACGTTTCTGTTTTTGGGTTGATGTGCATAATTCAACTTCAACGGTCATGTGACAAGCACAGTGGTTAGTACTGCTACCACCAACCTCTTGGACCAAGGTTCGAGTCTCTGCCATGGCTCCATGCTTGGGGATGTATGTTCTCCTTGTGTTGTATGGTGGTTTCCTTTGGGTTCTCTGATTCCCCCCCCCCCCCCCCCCCCCCAAAGTCAAAAAATATGCCAAGGTGAACTAGAGTTGCCAAATTCCCCATCTGTGTAAATGGTGAGTGTTCCCTGTGATGGGTTGGTGCACCATCCTGGGTTATTCCCTGCTTTGTGCCTGTAGTTTCCACGGTGGACTCTGGACAAGCGGGTATAGAAAATGGATGAATGAATTATGTATGATTTACTGCTGAATATTTAATTTTGTTGGACTTCTGGTTTTATGGAAAAAACAAATCAATAGCAGTTACATTTACCACAGTGTTAATGGAGCCACTAATGCAACTGTGACAAATGTGTCTGTGTGTGTGCATGCGTGTGTGTGTATGTGTGGATCATGTATATATTACATTGTGCAGACCAAATGTCCCCACAATGTGATAAAAACCTGTTACTTTGATATTGTGTGTTTTTTGGTCCTCACAAGGGGAAAATCAATTTTATTAAAATCTGTGACTGCAATCAAAAAACTAAAATTGTCAAAAGACTCAAATTTGTTTCGTTACTTATGGTTAAGGTTGGGGTTGGGTATAGGGGTTAAGATGGTCATGTTGGGATCAGAGTTTTCCCCATATGAATGAATGGAGAGTCCCCACAAAGATAGGGATACAAATGTGTGTGTGTGTGTGTGTGTCTGTCTGCTAGGTGTACAGTCAGTGTACCTGGCTCTGCAACTGATCAGAGATATGAAACCTGTTTCCTTATCATTTTAAATTTTTGCGTAAAAGGAAATTCCTCTTGCTCTTCCCGACCATTTCGTGCATTTTTCTATCCCTTTGATTTTAGGCTTATTACATTGCATGTACATGAGTTAGTCATCTGTGCTTCATGGTTTTCTTTTCAGGATATTCTGGGCTACTCAGATATAATAGTCGTAAGTTGATGTGTAAATGCTGACACAGTCTTGATATAAAATCCTTTTTATGAGGAAAAACTACTTGCGCCTATTTGAATTTCTCAATTTCTAGTCTCGTCTAATATAAAAATGTGCAGGCACTACAAATATAATCTTATAAATGCTGAGATTAGAGTCCCTATTAATATATTTGATATATAATTTTATATGCTTTTATATAATTATTTAAATTACTTTATAACATCTGAAAGAAACTGAAACGAAATGCCCATCCCCAAAAGACACACACACAAACACACACAAACATACACATACGACCACCCACAAACATACAAAAACAAACAATGCACACAAAATCCTAATATAAGCTCAAAACAAATACCTTTAGGAGTAACATACGTTCGTTTTGTTTATAGTCAGTGTTCTGACGATTTGTACCGCTTGGATCATTGCGAAAGCGAAATATTGCTTTCCTGGATGCGTTTTGGTGGAAGAACTTCAAAATGTATGCCTCGCTGCGCCCTCGTTGCAATTTAGACGACCGGATCGAATAGGTTTTCCTGATTGCAGAGATAGGTGAGTTGTGTATGTGCGTTATACCTATCCAAAGTTACAAGACTGAGATTAATGGGTGCGAAAATCAACACATTATGCGTTTGTCGGGTTCTAATGGAAATCTAAGCTACTGCATAATCAGAATCCTACTCATTAAAGGACAGCGCGATCTCCTTGATTTTCAAGCAAAGAAAAGTTAGTTTGATTGAAAGTTTCTTAGTAATATAACCCCTGGTCCTGACATTTCCTGAATGTTTTACACAGTGTCTTTATCAGTTTCTATTTTTTCACTTGTGTTATTGCGGAAAGGGAGAAGATGGTGCTGGGTCATAAAATCTAATTTATGCAAACACGCCTTTCATACTGAATACTGCGCCAGTAACTCAGTCTTGGATCTTTCCTTCCCCTTTTCCACTCTGTCCCTGTCTATCACAAGCGATTACTGCATGTGAAGCGGTCTGTACGCCACCTGCGGTCTGAAAACTGGGCTGCTTTGTTTTTTTATGCCACTTCCGATGACACGCACGTGCTTTCTCTCTCCATTTGGGGGGATTGCTGCTGGGAAGGTCACTGGTTTCATCCCAGCGGAAACATTTTAAAGATCTGACGTTTCTCAGGGCCCGCAGCTGAATTGATAGAGATAATGGGGGTATATGTGGCTGCTTATATTGAAATGAATTAGCGCAAAGTAATACACTGAGTCGTATCACATTACCTGCTAAATTGAAGGGGGGCTGTGTTCGTTGCCCACCATGTCACAAAGATCCGTTAAGTATTTCATGGGGGGCTCTGTAACCAGTATTATGTTCTATCAATCATTGATCGATTTAATATGCTTCCCGTGATTATTTCGTTGATTCCTTTTAGTTTAAACCAGGCAGTGAGTTGCAGTGCATGGTGAATCTGCCAATGGGGATCTCTCCCTATACTACATTAAACGAAATTCATTAACATTATAATTTTTATGCACATTAATGTTTGTTAATGTTATTACAGCTCATTCTCTTTTTCAAATGCTATTTTACTTTTGTTCACATACAAGTGAATGTGTTTTGATACATGAAGTATTGGTAATTTCCATTGTGCACTTTTTCTGTATAAATAGGTTTTTTGTTGTTTATAGAATTGATAGGAGAAATTATCTTAATTATTACTGTGTGCTCAGAAAGGATTAGGTGGAATATCACTTTTAGGGTGAGTATCGTTAAAATGGGATACTTTCTGAAAATTAGCTTTCTGAGAAAATCATCTCAACGTCTTGAATCCCAACTTGATACCATTCTAAGTACATTAATGCCCCTTGAAGAGAAAAAGTATTACACAAACACATCAACTGCCCCATTTTGCCAGGTGCCGCATTTTACTCACCCTACTGTTAAGAAAGAAATGAATACAATCCAAATGTATCATTTTGCATTATATATCACATTATATTAAAATTACAAGTAAAGCTTTAATGATTCCGGATTTAATAAACATATATTTTGCTAATTGGATTTTTCATGACATAGGCGATTTTCTGCATTCCTCCCGTGAAGGCAACAAATATGGTGTTACCATCTTGCTTGTGTTCCCTGTGTCTTGCCATGCCAAACTCTTACATAATCTGCACATAGTGTTTATGTTTTTTTCAGCCATGTGCTGCTTTTTTACACTCCACCATCACGACAGTGTAGCTCTATTAAAAAACATGAATGTCATAGCTGCCTTCAGTGCCGTCATCGTTCGTGGAACACGATGGCAGGTAGCCGGTTCCCTCAAGCCCAGCTCGACTGACAGAGTTATAAAACACGGCAAGTCTCAGTGTCCTTGCCTTTCAATCACACGTCACGTGATTTTATGTGCTCCAATTCTGTCCTCAAGGTCCGTTCTGTCATATGAGTAACAAAGCTGATGGCCGGACCGTGTGGGCAGGAGACGAATTAATGTGCAAAGATTTCAAGATCTAAAACAGGGTCTCCCGTCTCCTGTTCCTCCTGCTTGGATATCAGGGCATACATGAGGAGCACCGCTTTTATCTCATGCTGCTACTTCCGAAAAAGCATTATTATGGGATGTCGGTTAAGGGGTAGTGTATAAACTTGCCAAGAGGGCCCCCTTGTCACAATCTCTTTCGCTTTCTTCTCTATTTCTATTTTTAACCTTAAAGGCACATAGATAAAGATATGCTTTCAAGCTAAGGGGATCAGAAGGGTCAGGCCTGGGGGAGTGAGGGTGGGTGACAGATTTTTGGGGAGGAGGGTGTATGTGGGAGTCAAGGGACAAGAATCAAAACTTATTGCAGTGAGAGCTCCTTGGTGTTAGTTTTAATGGAATTTCTGCCCGTTTGGGATTTGTGGCTCCGGCCTTGAGGATGGGGGAGATAATCTTCGGCAGATATCTGCACGCACCCTGCCGTGGCACGGCCCCTGGGGGGGTGGGGGGGTGGGTGGTTGATCCAGAGTGGCTTGTGTGTAGACAGCACGACTATCAAAACAAGGACGCCCTACTTTAGTGCAGATTGAGAGGAGCACAGATAATAGGGACCCATTTTTAGTGCTGTGTAGATTTGAAATGGCTGGGCTGAGCCCATGAGGGCTGGGAATGCAGTGATTTAACACACTATCATTCCGGAGTGAAAAGAAAGGCTAAGAAAGGTTCCGTAAAATTATCGTTGTAAAGACAAGTGGCTACGTGACTCCCAAAACGATGGATAAAACATTTGTTCGCAGCCAAAACAAAATTACAATAATATTATTGTGCAGAAAGAGGATTTTGAAAGTATTCATTCCCTCATCGGCAGATGATAGATAAATATTCACAGGAAGCCATTTTTACTGAGAGCCACAGGGCACAACAGAAGATGCATCCTCTCTGTGCCGTTGTAATAACATTGCCGGACTCAAGGTGGCGCTGTATGGGAAACATTTTGAAATGTTCTGCCTGAAAAACGATGTTATCTGACTAGAGACCCAAATTGCTCTTGACTCTGTTCAGCTGACAGAGAGTAGATTGCTTTTGAATCGTAGCAGACGCAGAAGCAGATTTGATGGGTTTTACTCTGACTGTCTTTGATTAATTTAGAAATGTTTACTCTGGTTAATATTTAGAGTGCATATTGTCACTCATTTGATTTTCAAGATCAGGAGGCTAATACAAGCTGAAAAAAATCACTAAATCACATTGTGACAGTGAGGACGGGGATGCTTGCACAGTGTTTACTTTTTAAAAATCAGAATACCACCATAGATGATTATTATTAATTATATTATTATTCTAAAAACTTGAATACAAACAACATTATCATGCATTAAAGTGTAGTTACCTTTGGCCAATTTTTAACCTTCAGGTTTTAGATAAAGACACTAAATTGATCTTTGATTCTATTGTAGCCTAAGGCTCAATGTTTTGGATACATGTTAAAACTTTATTGAATCCACAGTGACACACAGAGAACTGGGCTGGTGAAAATAGCTTCAGAAAGACGAGGAAGCGAACATCGATCATATTTGTAGACTTGAAGCCTCATCTGAGGCAGACTGTCGAGGTTTTACAGTGCATCTAAACTTACTTTGTTGCTAAATGACTCTCCAACTGTTAAAAATAGTTACAACTGCCATCAAATATGCAATGTATGCACAAGGGGGCTCCATTTTCCCGAAACAAGAATAAGCAGTGGGTTGGAACAAGCTGATATGGAAATTGTAATAATATGCATCTTCACTCATGGTTGTAATTCCTGATATATCATGATTGTTGCATATTGCTCAAATTGTCTTTTAAATGTAATTGCATTTATATACTACAGCCAAAAAAATGACTCGCTACCCCTTTAAGATTTTTTTTTTTGAATGATAAACTGAGTAGCAGTTGGTCTCGGTCCAGCGATGTGTTTCGCGTAAGACGGCCTTCTTTTTGCAACTTCTTGGATTTTTCTCATTGAGTCAGTAGAGTTGTGGGGGAGGGAAGGCCGATGTTGCCTGGTTTACAAATGTAAGCAGATGTAAAACCCAGTCGCTATTGATCCCAGGTTTTGAAAGGGGGGGGGGGTTTAAAATCAATAAATAGGACCTTGTACAAAGATGTCTAGTCAACGGACAGGGCATCTTTTTATGTGACGAGGAGACAGAAGCCAATTTAGGTCAACTGTCTCAATCTGGATCTGTCAGTTGTTACCATGTAAATTGTACGATTGCTGGTAGATTATCACCACATACATACATAAATCAATAAAAAAATAAAGATAAATAAATAGCTGTTCTGTTCTGCAATACATAAGAAAGGAGGTATCAAGGTTAAGCTGGTAAACTAGGACTGAGAACATCAAGGACACCTGACCATTATAGAATTACACCAGACATGCATCATGTTTGCTGGGAAACAGGAACATTCCAGAAAAAAATAGACAAATTAGACTGTTAGATGTGTCATGTTACTGCTGACGTCTTGTGTTTTTTTCTGTACGGTTGTATGTGTTTGTATGTGGTACGTGTATGAATTGATAAAAGTGACCCTCTGATTTTACTCTTTTTGTATCTTGGCAGTTGCCATGGAAACCTTTCTCATCTTCCTCTGTTCGCTGCTAGTGTATGTTACTGGTAAGTGCCACCGCTGCCACCTCCGGCTGTTAAGAAGAGGAGAATAATGGGAAGGGGGTGACACCGTGCGGATGGGTTTTAGGGTTAATGGCTCCACTGTTATCATGTGGGGTTTTCCTAACACTGACAACGTGTGTATCTCAGGTGTTTATCATTCATCTGTGTGTTTGTGTGCACGCTTGTTTATCCATGTGCGATGAGGGAATCTTGACACTGGTCCCGCCGCGATCGCAATTTGATTCACTGGAAATATTTTCAGAAACAGTAACAAAACATAGGCCACGGGGAATTAGCGATGCTCCAGTCAGGTAATAGCTAAGATTTAAAAAGCTACGACTCAATAGGACAGCTATGCAGAGACACACTTGGATTAGCCAGGAACAAAAGTGATTCACTGCATATGATTCACTGCATACGATTCACTGCTTATGGGAGTTCGGAACTTCTGTATCACACTGAATAAACAATAAAATTCCGTAGATGATCTCCCAGTCTTTACATGTATTGGCTGATCATCCTATATTCTTTCTTTGTACACACCTCTAGCTGATTACTTTTTCTTTCAGTGTTATCGTTGATTGATTCTCTTCTATTATTCATACTGTCTTGTATGTCTGCATGTTAGTGGGCATAATTTACAGCGCGTATACAAAGTCTAACAATAGAGCTCTCGCTATCGTGTTTTTGCTATCTGTGTGTAGTTTAAAAAAGCAGGCTAAACTGTGCAAAACAGAAAGTAGGGCAGAAGGAACCAGAGTTATAAATTGTGCAAACGCTTGGAGGAGTCACGCTGACAGCATGCGGACGAAAGGGATTCACTGAGCGGGCAAAATGAGTTAGAAGGGCGCTGAAATTCGTATTCCATTTACAGCCAAGACGAGAGTTTTTATTCCTGGCCTTGCTGTAGCCCGTCTTTCTCACTAACAATAATATCTTTCAGAATAGGCTTGAAGCGCGTCTTGTTTTCGTCGCATGCGGACCTTTTCATCTTCTTTTCACGTCTTTGCGTTTCAGTCTGATATCAAGCAGTGACAGCAAACAAAGAAACGCAAAAAAAAAAAACCAGAGGGTGACTTTAGTCAACAAATCAAGTCAAATCAAATTGAGCTTTTCAGCCATGCCACTCACACGCAGGCGTACAGCGGCACGAAATAACATTCCCACAGCACCGCGGCACGACAGACGGAAAGTGACAAGAAGGGAGTTTTCACAGTGGTTTACAGGGCAAAACAAAAGCCGGTGCCAAGTGGGAAGGACGGACTCAAGGGTGTATATGGAAAGTGCATTGGGTATGTAAACAATGATAAATAATGCAGCAGCCGAAAGGGTGGGAAGAAATTGTGTCAGATAGCTGACAATAAATATATAAATAAAAATAAGGTAGAGTGACCCGTGCCAGTGGGGGAGGGGTGATTATTCTTAGGCACAGCTAGGTGGTCAGGGGTGCCCTAAATCATGCCATTTAGGACAAAAGAGGTCCTTACTGTTATTCCATAAAAAAGCAAAATTTAAGCAAATTTCTAGTAAACTGAAGCTCAGCTTAAAATGCAGAACAAGTATTTTATTTATATCTTTGTGTCTTAAATATATTTTTGCATTGGGTAATGGTGCCACTCCCAGGATTCCTCCCTGATGGTACGTGATGTCATCGTGCTTTGTGGGGGGGCGGGGCCTAATGAAAGCAGATTGCGGAAGGAGCCGGAAACGCCCATGCAGCACAAAGACACATGGCTGATTCCTTCAGGGGTGAAGCTTGAATTAAATATCAAGGACATACAGAGAGTGGGGATTACAATAATGAGCTGAAATTATAGATACAAACACAACCATATTTACACATCTGGGAAAAGTCAAACAAAGAGCAGCTTACATCCCGCTGGAGGGTTATAAGACCACACAGAAAGAGCTAAAGCAACCCAAGTTCACCATCTATGACGAACAGGTTTATTCTTGCTAGTATAACTGCATTATATATTGATAGGATTTCTTTGGTTGGAGCAAGCTTGATGTATTGGATGTACATAAACATCTGTGTAATTACCTCCATATAATTTTCTTTGTCTGTTCTGCTATATTTTATCCTGTTTTATCATGTCCATTCATCATTCACAACTTGGACTACAAAGCAGCGTTGTAAGTCGCTCTGGAAAAGAGTGTCTGCTGAATGATGTAAGTGTCCTACGCTATTCAAGGTCATGGCAAACCTGCAGGCCATCCCAGGAAGCACAGTGCATAAGGAGGGTAAACCCTGTATGGGTTTCTAGTCCATCTCAGGGCACACAAATCCACACAAACAACCACACGATAAGGCTTATTCATAGACAGGTAACTGCACATGCAAAGAAGTTCACACCAATACTGCCAGAACAATGAAACACCACACATACTGAGCCAGGTATGGGCCATAGTGCGAGCTTCTAAGCCAGTCTCCACCCATTTTCTGTAATCGCTTATCCCAGGGTTATTCAACTCACGGTCCTGGAGGTCCGAGCACTGCTGGTTTTCCAGCCTTCCTTTACCTGTCAGTCAGGTGTGAAGCCTCTGGCCAATCAGAATCAGTAATTATTAAACAACTACCTGGGAGAACTGAAAACACGGCCTGGATTTGGAATCGAGGTCCAGAGTTGAAGAACCCTGGCTTATCCTATTCAGGGTCAGGGGTGGTCCAGAGCCGATGGGTGCGAGGCAGGGAACAATCTAGGATGGGGCGCCAACCCCTCACAGGGCACACTCACGCCTAAGGGCAATTTGGTGACTCCAATTAACCTCAGCATGTTTTTGGACTGTGGGTGGAAACCGGAGAAGAACATGCAAACGCCACACACATGGAAACAAGGCAGACACTTGAACCTTGGGCCCAGAGGTGTGAGGCACCAGTGCTGGCCTCAGTGCCACCGCACTGCCTTAGTCCAACCTGCTGCCCAATATTATTTTACCAGCTGAAGCAATAACTTAACTCTACCATCCAAAATATGGTATTTGCATTTTGACACCTAATGAGGACTTATTAATGTATCTGACTTCCGTTTGTAATTATGTTGCACAGTCAGAACATACCTGTAAGTAGCTGTTGCATCATATGTCTGTTACATGTTATTATGTCTTGAGTTTGACATGCAGTTAGACCTTGTCTGAGGCAAAATGTCATTTTCGTTCATACAGACGCCACGTTTTAGCGGACAACTTTGACACAATCCAGATAATGAATTTTGCTGCTCAAGGGTAAAACGATTTTGCCCCGACTTGAATAATGAGTAATGTCACAGGATAGCCAAATCTGGTGTCAGGGGCTGGGTGTAATGCAGAGAAGCCGATGTAGTTCATCAATTTTTTACAAGCTGTGCGTTATCGGGAAATAACAAAAAAATGAGACAGTGACATCATCACCATCGCCACAGCCTTACTGATGTCACCCTCTCTCTCTTTCAATCTCTGTCCCTCTTTAGGTGAGACCATTGGACAGGGTGAGTTTGGTTTTTTTCTCTAATTCTTCTTCTTCGGGGAGGACTTCTGTGAGGTTGAGAGATTGATGGGTCACAGACCAGCAGAGGAACATAGAGCTTAGGCAAGACAATGGAAGCAGGACAGCATATCAAGAGGAAGGTGGTGCAGAGAGAATGAGAAAGAGAGATAATGATGATGCTGGTGATGATAAAAATCATTAATAATAATTGTTATTGTGCGTATCGGGGAGACACTGGGCCCACAGGTGAAGCTGCTACAAGGTGCAAGTCATCAGAGTTTGGACCTGATCTTCGTTATTTTTTGTCTGTAGTACATTGTCTATAAACTGATGGTATCAATCATCTGAGTGGGAAGATTGCAGCCTTTTAAGTTTCTATCCTGTTATTGCGCCTATTCAAATCAGGTTGATATATTAACGTAAAACTGCAGGATGTCAATATGGATCTAGATGGATGTAGTGTCACCCGTGAGGTAGGGGCTAGAGTCCCCTGGTGTGGGAGGGGCTAGAGTCTCCCATGAGGTAGGGGCTAGAGTCCCCTGTGATGTAGAATACTGAGTCTTCTGTGAGGTAGGGGCTAGAGTCCCCCATGAGGTAGGGACTGGAGTCCCTGGTGTGGTAGAAGCTAGAGTCCCCGGTGAGATAGAAGCTAGAGTCTTCTGTGAGGTAGAAGCTAGAGTCTTCTGTGAGGTAGGGGCTGGAGTCCCCGGTGTGGTAGAGGCTAGAGTCCCTGGTGAGGTAGAAGCTAGAGTCTTCTTTGAGGTAGAAGCTAGAGTCTTCTGTGAGGTAGAAGCTAGAGTCTTCTGTGAGGTAGAAGCTAGAGTCTTCTGTGAGGTAGGGGCTAAAGTCTTCTGTGAGGTAGGGGCTAGAGTCCCCTGTGATGTAGAATATAGAATCTTCTGTGAGGTAGGGTCTGGAGTCCCCAGTGTGGTAGAAGCTAGAGTCCCTGGTGAGGTTGAAGCTAGACTCTTCTGTGAGGTAGGGGCTAGAGTCCCCCGTGAGGTAGGGGCTGGAGTCCCCGGTGTGGTAGAGGCTAGAGTCCCCTGTGAGGTAGAAGCTAGAATCTTCTGTGAAGTAGGGGCTAGAATCTTCTGTGAAGTAGGGGCTAGAGTCCCCTACAAGGGGGGAGGGGCTAAAGTCGCCTGTGAGGTAGGGACTAGAGCCCCCAGGCAGGTAGGGGTTAAAGTCCCCTACTGAGATCATGGATTGTCCTGCATTTTAAGTGGTATTTATTTGTTTGTTTGTTTGTTTGAAGAAATTTTTTGTGTGCTTATTTTAATTTCTTTCTTTTTCTTCTTTTAAAATGTCTGTAAAGCACTTTGTAAAGCCGGTGGTTAAAACTGTGCTTTATAAATAAAGATTGTTTGTTTGATTGATTGATCTAATACCTCCTGTTTATTTATGAATTTTGTCTTTTGTTTACATCGTGTTAAGCAGAGAACAATGAGAAGGTCGTAGACCCATTTGACTATGGTAAGACCCTGAATATTTGCCTGAATTTATGCTCTGGTTTCATGATTACGGTATGATACATACATGTGGCGTCAACTGGAGCTGTGTTTGCATGCAGTAATGCAAAGATTGCCTCTCTGTTTCCTTGCAGACTATGAAAGCCTTCGGATTGGAGGACTGGTGTTCGCAGTGGTGCTCTTTGCCCTGGGCGTCCTGCTCATCCTCAGTAGGCCATCCTGCCGCTATTCCCAGGACACAGATAGCCTTAGAGGGAAAGGGCATGCATGTTAAAGGCTATGAAATGCATGGTCACCCAGGAAGAGCAGCAAACACAATAACTTACAGAACTTTACAGCTGACTGTCTAGACCAGTGTTTCCCAGCCCAGTCCTTGGGGACCCACAGACAGTTCAGCTGGGGGGGTGCAAAAAACGTGGACCATTTGTGGGTCCCCAAGGACCGGTTTGGGAAACACTGGTTTAAACGATGCCACATGGGGAGGCTGCCACCTTTGACTCGTTCTCAAAGAATCTGTGTGTTTTCCAGGCCGAAGGTGTCGCTGTAGTTTGAACCAGAAGCCCAGGTAACTCCGCCTTCCCAGACACACAGATAAATCAAAATATTTGCTGTCTTAGCCTTAGCTGTCGGATGCTAAACTCCGTAACCCTACCCCATTCCCCAATCCCTACATCTCTGCTTCAGGACCCCTGGGGATGAAGAAGCACAGGCCGAGAACCTGATCATCTCCAAGGGTGAGAGGATCGTCAGTCATCCTTCACATTAGGCCCTTTGATAGACTGCCCCCTCCATCACCCGCGCCTGGCAACCTCCCTGGCATCAATCGGGGAACAGAAACATGCCATTGGGTCAAGACCCATGACTCATGTGGCCAGGGAGAGCTCTCTGCCAGAGAATGTGAACTGGGCTCTCTTCATTTTAACAAATCGGATGTTACTCTACTTACTTAATACCTCCTTTTGCCGTTTAGGGAAAGATGCCCCTAAAACGGAGAACTGAAGTGACCTGTACAGGTGAGCATGGATTAGAGCAAAAAAAAAAATCATCTGACTGAAATTTTATTTAATTTTTTTTTAAACCAAATGCTCAGTGTCACAGGCCCATACCACCTCGGCCATGCATCAAATTTTCGACGCTGTGTTGTCCATTATCCCTTAAGCCCCTAGTTGAATTGCATTTACATAATTGTAACAATAATTCAAGCTAAGGAAAGACTTTACCATTGTCAATAATTGGCTATAAATGATGAAACATCAAGTTTTCAGTGCAAATTTATTTCAACAACAATGTTTTAGTAATACACAACAGTGGATAAGAAAAAAGCCATTGCTTCCATGGACTATTTTTTATGGGAAACCACACAAAATCGAACACCTGCCATATTCATCTTTTTGCACCATGAACTAAATGGCTTGCCATTATCACCCATTTCATTTAGCCAAGCCCATCTCCACTTATTCTTCACCGTTGTCGATGTCTGACACATCTGTGCCTTCCTTTAACAGAAGCGCGTCCATGCTGACAAAACCGAAAGCAAACTTACGCGCGCGAGTGATGCAAATCAAAGGGCCTATATGTCCTGTAAAATATGGCTTTACGGACTATTTATATAGGCTATGTTTACAAATAGCCTAAACTCATTTTAAAGCAGGCTGAAAAATCCCAAGATCCCGACCCAAAATACGGGAAATTTAGAACAGCTTCCCATTGCCATTCCCCTGTTAACAGCAACAAAACGGACCCCAAAACTGCTGTTATTTATTTTTAACGGAGCATAAGCTCTCACAGCACGTGCGACACCAGAGCCACTGTCCTGAATCTTGAGCTTCAGAGTTTTGGCTTCTTTAGCTATTTAAGCAATGTAGCAGTCAGCCTTTGTCTTTAAACCCAAAACCTTTTTTAGCTACTATTAGCGAATGAGACACTTCATGACACACCACTGACTTCCAAACATATAAATACGTTCTATTCCAATCATTTTTGAAAATGTAAAATATACTACTACTGGCCTATTATCATGCCCTATTATTATTATTATTGGATACGCCAGGCAACAAGAAGCCCATGCCATATTCACCCTTTTGCAGATCTCGTCTTGGTTTTGGGACATTAAAAGACTGATGTGGCACTAAATGCTGGGGAATTATTTTCTCCTTACTATGAAGTTTGGCATCTTAAACACGTGTCGGGAAATAGCTTGCAGCCTGTAGGCTACTCCGCAGCCGTTAATGTTTAAGCGAAATGCCGAAACTAATAATTAAATTGTAATTAAACCAAAGAAAAAGAGCCTTTCCAGAACTTTGTCTACCAAAGCTTGTGTAGCCCCCCCCCCCCATTTTTTTCCTTCGGATCTGCATCAATCTCATTATTAACCTTTAGTTCACTCAGGCGACAGAAATATAATAGCGACGGAAAACGTTAATCCATGGGTGAGTCAGTCACAGTCAGCCTTTGTCTTTAAACCCAACTCCAGCTTCTTGTAGGTCCTTTGACTCAGTGTTGTCTCCTTGGTGTCGTTTGACGCTCTTAAAGCCAGCCAGTGTGGGAATGCTAATAGTTATTTATGTAGCAGATGCTGCCATCCACAGTGAATCGTGTAGCTTAAAAGGTCATAGGTCAGCTGTTTATGCTACACTGCTTGAGAAGGACCTTGATAAGATCAACAGCAGTGCCCTTTCTGAGACTGGAACCCGCAGACCATTCATTATAAATTCAGCATCTTAGCCGTTACACCACCTGCCTCCTAACACCTATATAAACAGATCTCTTGGAGCCTTGTGATGAAGCTTAGGAAACTGTTCCTCTCGTGTCTCTGTTGTTGCTGTTCTTTCACCTTTTACGCTTCCCAAGCTTCATTCAAAAAATGGAATTCAATGACTTTGCTGTCTACAGTTGTTTGCTGCTGCAGTTTTGGTATTAGTGAATTGTTTAAGAATAACAATGTATATATAAATGTCATAAGCAATTGGTCAGTACAACCGCTGACATAGCGGCACATTGTTAAGACTTGTGCCGTTTTCAGCCATATTCCTTATGTGCTTAACAAGTGTGCTACTTTACGATCATGGTAAATGTGCAACGGTTCTACATGTATCAGCAAAATCATATTTATTTCCTACCCTGCCTGTCATCTTACAGACTGAAGACTCGCTTCTATATGCCACCGAAGCGAGACTGATAACAATGTCCTGCCAAGGCATCGGGAGCAAGGGGAATGGATCCGGGGGGGGTCAGGTTGCGAGACGTGCTGTGTAAATACAGGTCTAGCCACATGTCCTGTTACCAGTGACCATGTCTTCCCATCTGTATCCTGTGTACTGGTCTCTCTGCGGTTTGCCTTTGTTAACCCGTGACGGTGTAGTAGAGTGTCTCTAATCTTCAGGCTCACAAAACCTTGTACTGTGATGAGTTCCTCCTTGTGATTTTAAAAACTGGTTTTATTTTTGTTATTTTTACTATGTACTATGCTCTTCTCTTCCATGGTCACTGTTATAATCTTTGTCAGAAGCGTTCTATTCTGCAGTGTCTCATAGGCCTATACATATATATATATATAGTTTGTAAATACAATAATATAGAAATTGTACAAAACTACACACAGATATCTAAAAGTCAAGAAGACAGGTTTTATTGTGTGTGTGTGTGTGTGTGTGTGTGTAATTGGGGACCGCTAAGTTCCCTTAATATGCAGCCTCTGTCTCCACACCCTCTTGAAATGAGAGAACTTTTTTTTCTGAAAGTCATGTCACTTTCAGAGGCAAACATATCCACTGACATGGCAGTAGTCTGCCAATTTTAAAAAATGCCATCCAGTAGGCAGAGGTGGACAGTTCAGGTCCAGAGAGTAAAAATCCAGACCAAAGATTTTGTTTCGCCCAACCCGTTGAGTACGCTGTGACTCTTTATGCTTAACAAGATGGTTGAAACAAAATCCTGGTGTGGAGTTTTACTTTCTGGATTGGAATTGTCTGCCTCTGCCAGTATGAAGATGCACAACTGTTTATCCTTCATTCCAGTAGAATTGTGTATTTAAAGCAGTAAGCAAAGAGGAAATTAACAGCATTTATATTGTATGTATTACTGTGTTGAAGAACTTATTTCACAAACAATAAATACTGTGTTCACTTCAGGGGCTCTTCTGACGTTAGCGTGAGTCTGTGCCCCATCACAACACACAGATTTATGGCAACTCACTTATGTCTGAAACCAGTGTAGGCTATACATTAATCATGTTATGAAATTCAATTGTTCAAAACGTTGGGAGCTTGATGACAATGCTCTGAAGTAATATCTCACGTGCCACACCGTTTTTGCAAAGTTCCTGGTTGGACTTCTAGCAACCCTGTACACACTGAGGTTCCACAATATCTGTCCTTTTCCATCAACAACATCAGCAATGGCTGCTGTTACCGAGAACCTGACAGGCTCACACACGCAAGGACACACGAAAGCCACAATTAGAGTCACTGATGCACCTCAGGCATGGACTGTGAGATCCAGAGTAAAACCCACGCAAACATAAGCCGAATTCGGCACCTACGCAAATGCAGGTGTGCTTTCATTGCAGTAAATCCCACACATTAAACACGTACGATGGTCGTCAAATGCATTAAGATCATCCTTATGCACCCTTCTTTAAGCGTAGCTAAAAACAATGAGACGTTTATCTTCAGTTTTTTTTCTCCCAATTCCAGGTTCGCAGACCCCGCGATCGGATGAATATGCCAAATTAGAGTTGCTCGCACAAAAATGTGTCTTGGTTGTAATCACGTGGTTCGTATGTAGGTCAATAAACGTTTATCTTCAACATTACACAATATTACATACAAGATAATATAATATTAAACTAGATCGATGCCTGTGGGTTACGTAACATCGTCGTTAGCTAAGGAATATGGCTGTTAACAGAAAATGCACTCAGAAATCCATAACTTCACCTTAAATTAAGTTACCGTAATTGGTACTGTTATATGTTGACGACGACATTGTTATTGTCGTTGCTGTGTGTTATGTATAGCCTACCAGAATTGTATAGTATTTTAAATATGACATGCCATGTCTTGTAAACCGCTTTATTTATAATACGGGGTACAAACACATGAACACGCATGTGACATAAATTATATCTTGCCACAACTTTACAGAAAATTATTCCGCCTTACATAATGATGTTACACGCGCAGTGCTTTGAAAATGGTGGTTTTAATAGATCGTGTTTTTTTCTACAAAGTTGAACTTCACGCATTACAGCTACACACCGATACATAATTTCGATTTGCCTGTAAGTGTTGCCTAAGGGTCACCGTCGGAGTTTTATTGGTGCTGAAGGCCGTTCTTTATGGGGTAATAAAGTTGCGTTTTGCAGGCACAACGCTGTTGGTGTATTTACCTTATGAAAGAAGCTGAGAGATTGGTGGGTGGGGCGGCATCGCGTCCGCCTTGCCCTTCTGATCGGACAAGCTGACAGCACTTAAGTTACCCTAAAGCTGTAGTCTACAGCTAGTCTCTGAAGAGCAGTTGATTTGCACGTATACGCTTCAAAGCAGGTAGGTCGGCGTATAGTATTTCTTTTCATAACATACATTATTACTGACAGCACCGTGTCGTGTGGGACAATTGAACCGCTTTTCCTTAATATTTGGAACCTTAAGTAGTTGACAGAATCAGCTCCTTTGTCCATTGTGCGTAATAAACGTCCGCACAAGTTTCGCATTACATAGAAAATCGCATGGCTTGCAAGCCACGCCGTAGATCATTTGCAAAACGACCAGAAGCTCTGGTACAGAAACATGCTTTAAATGCCTTTCCACGTGAGAATCGTTGTCGTTTTCTCCCTATACATGGGTTGTGTATTCTTGGAGAAAGTATGTTTTCTTTCTTGTTTTTCGTTCGTACTCTCTACACATTGTGGTATAAACTATTAATTAAAAATTAGAGGTCCGTCATATATGCTAACGATCGCTATCACACGAAGTAAACGGATCATACATGGAGGATATAATTTCGCATGATAATCAGCCAGAGGGGTGTGGCCTTTTAGCGCAGGTAGAGCAATCGGGTAGAGTAGCCTACCTCCCTTATTAAAATTTGGGACGTCCGAAATTGGCTTAGAGGTTCATTGGAACCAATATATATATATATATATATATATATATATATATATATATATATATATAAGTTAAATTTCATGTCTAAACATCGATGGATAAACTATGATTTCCTGGAAGTGGTGTAGAAACCATTCAAGCAACTGGAATTCTCAGTTTGCTAATGAAACGTATGTGTAGCCTTCTTTTAAACTGGAAACAACATTAAACCCTTGATGTTCATCTCTCAGAGCAGGGTGGTTTTTGGCGGCAGCGATTAGCGCGGTCGCCTCACACATCCGGAGACAGCGGTCTCGATCCCACACCCCTGCACCGGATGTGTGAAGTTTGCATGTTCTGTTCGTGTGAGGTTTCCTCCGGAATCTCCGGTGTCCCCCTGCACAGTCTACAAACACGCTAAGTTCAATGGGAGTTGCCCTAAGTGTGAATGGTGAGTCCCCTTTGCGATGGGTTGGCATCCCGTCCTGGGTTATTCGCTGCCTTGCGCCTATGGTTTTCGGGATAGGCTTCGCCCCCACCCCGACACAAGCAACATGGATGGTGAATGAATGTTCTTACAGTTTCCTGATACCCAAACTATTTCTATAGGTAATGAAATGGCATGTTGCGTTTCTAGGTGTGCAAATAACAGAGCATCTTTACAGCTTTAAGACTACTTTTCTATAACATTTATTGGCAATTTTGCATTACGATTTGAAATCTGAGAAATGCAAGGGATGATAACTTTTAATGTAATGAAATAATATTGCAACATGGATGGATGAAAGAGTAAATAAAATTCCCGGATGGGAATTCCAGTGTTAACGGGACCTTAACATTAATATTTTGAAAATATCTCCCGAGATCCACATGTCACGTGCGGACTGCTCGTAGCCAGTAGCCTAATTTGTGTTATTTAATCTGTCACTGGTTTGAAATGCTTAATTGTCATATGGCTCATGGGTCAACTTTATTGTCTTTATAACTAATAACTTTATCATTTTAATTATTCATCCGTACAATCGCAGTGTAACACAATAGAAACAGTGAATATAGATACATGCCACGATTGCTATGAAACTGATTATAGATCTTACTATGTCACTGACTGTGGCTCTAGATAATGATCGGGTAAACACTCCCCCCCCTCCCCCATACCTGAGTACTATGCTGAAGTGTATCTGCTTGAAGGGAACCGAAGGGGCGTGGCATCATGAGCTGACTGTCGGTGCCCTTTTTTGTCCCTTAAATCGTGCGGTAGCAGCGATATTGATAGAAAGATTTAAGAGTGAAGCTTGTTGTTGAGCTGTTGCTTGTTTCATGCAGGTTTACGGGAGATTCAACATGTCTGAAGCAGGTGAGTGAGAAACAATCTATTGGGAGACTGTCTAGGGGGTATGTAACTTATTACCTAAAGCTGTAGGCAAGCCGTTTGCATTACTGTTAAAAACGCGACAAAACTGGTTTAATTCTATGGAAAGGTTGTATAACTTGTACGAAGAGTACACGCCCCATAACAACAAAATCACCCACACCGGTGGGCTACTATTTGCTTTGGGGCGAAGTATGTTATCTCCTAAATGTTTTTTTCTGTCTTCTCTCCTAAACACTACTGTATTTAAATGTTGTATGCAATTTCTATGTTGACATAGCCCGAGCAGGGAAAGGTAGCCATGCGGTTTAGATATGCGTTTCGGAGTATGGGTGTGTAAGTTCATTTCTCTGTGTTTACCGTCGGTGCAATCTACCAATCACCAATGAGTTAATGGGTGAACAGTATTATTTTTAAAGTACGGATGAATAAACCCGATTTGATGGCGTAGTCTCGTGCTAATTGCCTTTTAGAGAGAAGTACGTGGATTATTGCGTAGAATGATCTTTGTATTATACTTGCATTAATGTTGGAAAATGGATGGATGGATAGATGGTTAATAGGCTAACTATTACGAAATCGTCCACATAAATGACATTTAAGCTTCATAATCATTACATAATCATGTTAAGACTAGGCTATGGAGAGGCGTGCCAAATGAAGCAACCTCTGTCTTCTTGTTTTACTTCACTGCTATCTGTAGTGTCTGTGTAGAACACGAAAATATAAAACTATAAAAACGCGTATGAGTTTTCAATAATAAAAATATGGGACTTGGCGGAGAAACGCCGACATGACAGCGGCATTCCGGAGAGCCCCAGCCCAGGTTATCATACATCATCCATGATCCTGAAAGACCTCACAAGCCCATGAGTGACATCAAAGGATGGCCCTCGCTTTTCAGGACGAAGCTGGCTGTCCATTATTAAACATCTGTCTATCATATGCGCCAAATATGTAGTGGTATATGTGGGATGAACAATGTCGCCGTTGGCTCACTGGTACATGATTGGAAACCGCTGTATCCGCCGTTCATGTCACACTGCCAGACTCGCAATCTGCCATCCGCTGAACGCGAAATGCGGGTAAGTTTATGAATTTTATATAAGATGCCGATCGAATTACGGCTAGATTGTACAGTCGGTATATAACCGGTTACGTAACATCTCTGTGATACGTGCGTTTCTTGGCGTGCGGTCTCCAGCTTCCCTCATTAGGTGCATTGGATCCATTCATTGAATTTCATAATAAAACGTGTTTTATCAGTTATTTTTGAAATCGTACGTCCTACGTCTGGATTGGAATGCTGGGAAAATGTGAAGAAATTAGTCCATCCTTTAGTTAGAAAACACTCGCTTTTAATTTAATAATAAACTAATATTTGGGGAATGCATTGTAGCCTATTTACCTGAAATACGAATATGAGCCGTTACTATTATAGGCTTTTACACGGATTTAAGAAATTTTTACATTTTTAGGTTTTACGTCGTGTTGTGTGTTTTTTTTTTTTTAGTTTTTTTAAATCCACTCCCTTTAAGTCCCTCTGCTGGAAACTTGAACGGTTATTTTAATTTATTACGTTTATACGTTTTGCGACCTGCCGTGGAATTTCCAGATAAATGGAATGAATCTTTCGTAATTATCCTTCTACTGAATTAATTAGTCTATTATAGAGGTTTTCTGACGACTGCAGCCAGCATAGAACTAGCTAAACAAACATCTCCTTTAGTCAGTTCACTAACTTTTTAATTGACATTTAGTTTATTAAAAGTTTGTATACTTTTATTGGTAGATCACTAGAAAATATTTGCCATATAAGGTGTGTGTGGGCGTGGGGTTAAGTTAAAATTAATTTGTTATATATAGTGTCTGCAAGTAAGACACTGTTTTGTGCCATTTTGATACGAACCCAGATATTCTGAAAGTACTTGGTTTTGGTAAATTTAAAATTCACCTTGAATTACCCTTGCCCAAATGAGACATTTGAGGTGCTCTTGGCTCAAAAAAACCCCAATTTCTCGTGATGCAATGGTAACCGTAGGCCACTCGGAATTTTTGGGTGTGCATGAATGAGCTGCTTTGTGATCCAGTATCTTTCATTTTTTTTCATAGTTGGAATAGAATAATTCCTGCCTTGTTTATTAATTATGTATGAATGACAGCGAGATTTGCAGAGTAACTATTTAACTTGCAGGAAAGAAAATGTCCATCTTTACATTATAGCTTTCAGTATGTTTATCATTTTATTCAGAAACTGTAATGCTTCTCTTTTCAGCGACCCCTAAGATGGACCTAGATGCAGACTTTGTGTACGGTATGTTTCTTTTTCCTGTTGGGTTTCTTTGCAGTACAAATGCTGAAGGACTAGAAGAGAAAAACTAGCTAATTTTGTAGCTACGCAGCTGAATCCGCTGATAAATGGCCTTTGGTGAGACTTAAATCTACTTACTAACTTCTCGCTGAAAGGGCAGAGGTTCCTTTTAACTATTAACATTGTTTTTAAGAAGCTGATCAGATAAGATTCTGTCCATTCGCATGTTTTCTCTGTGACTTAGCAAAGGAGCCCTCCTTGGCTGACGCTATACGATCTTGGTGTGTGTGCGTGCAGTGATGCTCGTCTTGTCCTGAGTAGTTTGTGTATTCCAGACTATCGGACACTACGTATTGGAGGCCTGGTCTTTGCTGGGGTCATTGTATTCCTGTCAATCCTCCTGCTTGCTGGTGAGTCTGCAGCTGGTTATTTACAGTTGGGTGGGATTTTATTGACGAAAGGGAGAGGGTTCGGTAATTTTAGCGTCTGTCCCTTTATGTACGAGTATGAGTTCATAGCGAGCTGTTTTGTAATGCCGTGTACTGTTTATGTATGGGATGTAAATGAAACATGATTTATCCAGGAAGTGTTCCTGCAGGGGAGGGCAGGGCAAAGCAGGTTTAATGCTGTTATCAAAGATGTCTGCCTGTGTGCGGCCAGAATTCTGATGATGTTTTGAGGTTGTGATTCTCTCTCTGTCTTTTTCTTTGCCCTGCCCCCAAGGAAACTCCATTCGCAAATGCGGGAAGTCGAAGGTAAGAGACCAGGATGGTCACAACTGCTTCAAGACTTCAGCCTTTTGATAAGGCCACAAAGATAGACATGTTTACTCTTATAAATGTCCAGATTCCATACCACTGCCTACCTTTTTTTTGCTTTTCCAAATATTCTGTGTTAGAGCTGCTTAAGGCAGATGGGCTTTTTGCCAAACTCATCTATCTGACAGCATTCCCAGACTTTCCAAGAGCTCCTCTTATGGACATTTTGTAATTTTTTTTTTTTTCCTTTCCATTTTTTCATTCTTTAACATCACAGCATGCATACCACACTCAACGTCAATTACATGCCAGCAGCTCTTTTCAAACATTCATTTGCTGTCATTTTAATGCCAGCAATGCATTGCCAAAAAGAAACCAAATCAATGAAAATCATTTGCTTTTCTTCAGACGAGAAGTAAATTTCAGCGAGAGAGGCATGCTATTCACTTGTTTCGCCCTGCTGTAAAAACTGAATAGCGTTAATGGTGTTTGATTATGAGGTCATTGTCTTATTTCTGCCAAATCTGGATGAATTACTGCTGCAGCTACAATCCCATTCAATAACATCAGCATATTCATCTAAAGAAGTTGGTATGTTTGACCAAGTAGTTATTGTGTCCTGTATAGATGCTTAGTGCAAATAATTTATGAACACATTTAGTTATTAGCAGTCCCTGAAATATAAACGCCCGATATATGGACAACTCATACTTACGAATGGACTGCCATAAAGCCTGTTATCTTATTTAACCCGAATTATTAATATGGTTCGTAATGATGAACGCACGCAGTACTTTGTGTCACTCCAGAAAACATTTCATGGCTTCATTTGCTCAAAGTACAGTACAGTATTTACTTCTATTTTTACTGTATAATAATTATTAATATGTACTACATACATTTTTTTTTTGATTTATCTACACATTTAACTTGGACAGCCTTTGGTAAACCACCATGGGTCTGTTCTTTAATACCATAATATCACAGTATAGTGAACATTGGATTCTCCAGAACGAATCTGCTACCTGAATCGCACAGAGCTATTAATATTGCATTTATTTAGCAGAGGCTTTTGTCTAAAGTGATGAACAAGTGAGAACAAGCTCAGCCAGTGTCCCTGTAGCACTGGAGGTTATGGGTCTCGCTCTAGGTGTCCACCAGTGAAGTCACTCTGCTGACCACTGGATTTTAACTAGCGACCTACTAAACAGCGGCAAGGAGTCCAGTTCCACAGAGCCGCACATCACCGTAGATACAAAACATTTTTAACTCCAGTAAACGCGTTTATAACATGAAAAAAACTAATTTTCCTTCATCAACCAAACGGCAGACGGTAGCTTATAGCAGTGTAATGAAATATGAATTGGAATCGGAAATTCAATCCGAGTATCTGATATGGCTGCTTCGATGCAAAACCCAATCTGGATCAAGTTTAGAAGGAAATAGGCCGAAAATCTATGGAGCCAACATAAATCAATCAATACCATTCGCGTCACTATAACCGCATGCTGCTGTGATATCATTTCATTTTGAGATCGTATGATCAACTTCAGTTACCTACAGTGCCAGATGGATTTTGCACTGCAAAATATAGTGACTTCAAAATGTTTTGAATATTTGCTTTAGCACTTCAATATGATAAAATGATCTAAATCAATTTGAATCATATTGAGACTTAACATTTATTCAGCAGATGTTTTTGTGCATCAGCTTTGAAAGTTACACTGAAGCATTTCTGCACCAAAGTGCATCATACATTTGATCATACTATTGCCATTTATGAATATTCATATTGTATCATTTGAGTGGGAGAGAGACATTTGCTAACTTCACTTTTATTGCGATTATGCAATGAAAACACTAAACTGCTATTAAATGAAATGATACGGGGAAATGGAAAAGCAATTCTATTTTCTTCATGTTCTCAGTCACTGTGTAATCACAAAGGAGAAAAACGTCATTGCTCTTCTGGCCTGTAGTCAAACCAATCACCAGCTTGTTTCACTTGGGGAAAGTCCAAATTGTACACTGGCAGTTTCTCCTTTTAGTATTTGAATGTGGCCTATAAGTCTATTGAACATGTATAAGCCTGTGTTTATAGTCTGTACATTTAAACAGGATTTAGTTTATAGCTGTGTGTGTGTGTGTGTTTTGTTTTTTGTTTTTGCCTCCCTGATCTATGGGGTTAATATTTTCTTGATTAGTAATATTAATGTTGTCATTCGGTGTTTCACCGTTATATCATTTTCCAGCCCACAGTTCCTAAAGAAGACAGCTAAACATCAACCTCGAAGCCAACAGAGGAACAGTCATGGGAGGCAGAAGATTACAGAGCAAGACCTGAAGATTATATCGGCTTTATCATGTATGCATGTATCATTTTAATGCAGTTAGGATCCCTGGAGATTCCTCAGATCCGAGACCATTGTTTTACTCCTGATTTAATAAAAATGGAAACCTCCCTATTGTCTCTGTTTCCATTGTGCTCGGTTTTGAGTTAAAGCTGTTTTTCCCTCTGTATTAGCTGGGCACCTGATTTTTTTAAATGTTTGTAATGGTCGTCTAATCAACCGCTAAATCAAACCTAAGAGGTCAGCTGTAAGGAAAACTGTGTTTGTAGATATTAGCCATGTTTAATAAATCCATATAACTTTTTAAGCAGTTTTCTTTGTGGGGGGGGGGGGTGATTATTCATAAAACAATTCAGTAAATTTTACAGCATGGCTTCCATTTATTTAATTGCATTTTGTGATTTATGGTATATGACCACATAGCAGGTTTTTACTGGTACGTGGCTTTTACAGTATATTGGTTATTTAGGATGCTTACTATTAAATGTTACTTAAGTTTTATAAAATATATTCAGCCTATTATAATGAATTGCTGTACAGCTACCCTGCTTTCTGTTTAGTTACTAACTCCTGTTTTGGTTTCCAGTGAAATTTATCCAGTGTTTTGTTGTAGTATACAGTAAATTCATACATCAGGAAAAATATGAAGTCCTGTTAAAGTTTATGCATCATCTTGGCGGCACCTCGTGTCAGATTATATAATGGACAGTTTTGAATGCAACAAACAAAATGGGCTGCATTAAGGAATCTGTGTATATAATTCATTACTACCTGCACATCATACAGTAATTATTGGAGGTAATCTTTTTCAATTTCAGGAAGAAAACAAAAACTGTTGCAACAATACAGCTGTAATGTTTACTTGATGATAGAATTTCAAGTGATGATTTAAGAGGAACTTCATCTTATCTATCCATTTTTTGAAACTGCTTCTCCTATCCAGTGGAGGGGTATGGAGTCTGTCCTGGAGGTTACAGGCACAAAGTAGGGAACAACCCAGGACGGGGCACCAATCCACCGCCAGACACAGACACACACCTACAGGCAATCTGGCAACTCCGACTAACCTCAGCATGTTTTTGGAGTGTGGGGATGAAACTGGAGAACCTGGAGGAAACCACATGATGACATGGGGAGAACATGCAAACTCCACACACTGAGCCATGGTGGAGACTCAAACGCTGGTCCCAGAGGTGAGAGACGACAGTGCAAACCACTGCACCACCCTTGTTCATTTTAGTTCAAGTTTTAAAAGAGTAGAAAAGCCTTTCTGTTGCACGTGCTAGTATAAAGATATACCTTACACACACACACACACTCAGATACACACTGTAGTCTAAACTCTGCCATTAAGTGTTTTATTTTCTTTAGTTAGGTACTGATGGATGTGAAGGTCTGGCTCACAACCTCTGTTTTAGTTCATCCCAAAGGTGTTCAGTGGGGTTAAGGTCAAGTTCTTCCACACCAAACTCACCCAACCGTGTCTTTATGGACCTTGCTTTGTGCACTGGGGCACAGTCATGCTGGAACAACAAAAGGACATTCCCCAAATTGTTCCCACAAAGTTGAAAGCATTGAATTGTCCAAAATGTCATGGTATGCGGAAGCATTAAGAGTTCCCTTCACTGGAACTAAGGGGCCCAGCCCTACCCCTGGAGAAGGACCCCATACCGTTGTCCCTCCTCCACCAAACTTTACAGTTGGCAAAATGCAGTCAGACAGGTAACGTTCTCCTGGCATCCACCAAACCCAGACTCATCCATCAGACTGCCAGACAGAGAAGCCTGATTTGTCACTCCATAGAGCACATTTTCATGCTCACTCATGTCTGACGTTCTGTTGTTCCTAAACGCTTCCAATAACACCACTTACAATTGACTGGAATATCTAGCAGGGAAGAAATTTCACAAACTGACTTACTGCAAAGGTGTATCCTGTGACAGCACCACACTGGAATTCTCTGAGCTCTTCAGAACAACCCATTCTTTCACAAATGTTAGTAAACCTGACTGCATATTTAGGTGCTTCATTTTATACACCTGTGGCAATGGGTTAGAATGAAACATCAGAATTCAACGATTAAGAGACATCTCCCATCACTATGCACTTTCTATCGTCGTTCTCATTACAAATAGTGAACAGTGAATATTCACTGGCATCCCATCCAGGGTGTACCCTAAATGGACTCATATTCCTTGGCCTTTATAGGATGATACAGAGCAATCATCTGTCTTAATGACAGGAGATAGATGCCCAAAGTTGGGTGAAGGCATCCTTTGGGTTTCTCCAAACATAAATCCA